AATTTTCAATGCAAAAGACGTTTTTATGAAGGGAAAATTTTTACTTAGCTCGCGATATCAATCTAACAAATATGTAGTGTCTAGTATGCGGATTTATTTTTTATGCTCAAATAACCAATAAGTATAGTTCAACTACTTAAAAACGCTTATCTATAGTAAAATATTATAAAGAGGCAGAGTTTGTCTATTCCTTTGAACGCGCTAATCTCAGGAACTACTAATCCAATTTGAAAAATTCTTTTTGCATTAGATAGACCGTTTATTGAGGAAGCCTATAGGCTATATATCATCACGCGAAGGGACCTAAGGGAACCTAAGGGAGCGAAGCAATAATATAATATATAGTCTATCTATTCCATACTAACCGCTAAAACGTACCTAGGGACGGATCCGAGCGAAGCGAAAGTGAGCTGCTAGTTTTAGTATAAAGTCTAACTGTAAACGCACTTAGCGACCAAAAAGGTCAACCGCGGAGCAACGAAGTTTTACTAGTATCAAACATGAACAAAACAAATTTGACGTGATAGTGCATTCCTAATTTTAAACATAGACAACACATTTATTCTGAAATCTTTTTTTATTCTTAATTTTTTTTAAATCTAATTAAAACAATAGATATATTTCATTTATAAGTAAAACGATTCTTTGAACTCTTTGGTCAATGAAATAAAAAAATACACATGTATATAAATGTAACATTTCAATGCATATAATGTGTCTAGAAAATTAATGAACTTTTTTATATGTTATGTATAGAAGGTCTTGAAATATCATTCGTACGAAGAAGGAAGTGAACGTACGTATGTTACCGTTGGTTTGCAGTTTGCACCCGCCCCGCTAATTAAATTTGCGCTAATCCTACTTACTAAGTAATTAGCGATACTAATTGCTTACAGTGTCTTAACTACCGAGTTGGACTACGCGAGATATTTACAGATTCTCTAATTAAATAATTATTAAATTAACGCCATATTAATGTTATAGAACCGGTAAGTTTTGTGTAATAGCCTGTAGTATTACAATCAACAGAATGTGGGAGGTGTTGTAGGTATCGCTTTGATACCGGCACAGAGTTATAGTGTATGGTATTCCCCAAACTTTTTCTAATAAATAATTTTAGTATGTATACCTAACTTTTTATAAATTAAGATCTATCTAAAAAAAGTGGAGGTCATTGAGAATTGAAATATTGCATACGCATGTTTTTATAATTAATAACTATTGTTTTAATAATTATTACTTTATTTTCAAGCTTCTGTAGCTTGTGCTATTATTTGGAACGTAAACTATCTCTATGCAAAAAAACGTGTGTGTGTACTTATGTATATATGCACGTAAGAAGTTATACTTCTTTGGAGTAACAGAACAAAAATAGCTAAAGATATCATCCCGTATGTCACAACTCTCTGTTTGTAAAAGGAATGCAGCTAACTTCATCATGTCGCTTTTTGCATATTGACTTGAAACTTTGCAAGTGTGTCTATTTCTGTTGATGGTGCAGTGTTTCGGCATCGTTGACCTGATCTGATGGTAAGGCCAGAAGGTGGATAGGTGGAACTCTTCAACGGCTAATAGTAGATACTTTGAGTTTGGGCTTATTTTGTTTGATTTGACAAACCTAACACGTTAGAATCGGATTTTAGGGCCAGAATTTTTAGTGTTACTAATAAAAGTGAATTTTACTTTGTCAGTCTTCATATTAAAATTAGCATCAAATTAACTTAAACGGTTTAAGCAAATATTTTATTAAATACTTTCTTCTCACTTTGCTTCTACTATGTCTATACTAAAAAGTAAAAAAGTAAAAACTTTAACAAAAAAATAAAAACCGACTTCAAAAAAAGCACTAAAAAGTAAAAAAATAACTGATTGGTAGTTTTCATTTACTATACACACCTAAACAAATATATTCGAAGTCGGTGCCAGCCAATACAAAGCAAAGCACACCGATTTCAAATATATTTGATTAGTAGGTACATATAGTAAATGAAAACTACCAATCAGTTATTTTTTACTTTTTCGTGCTTTTTTTGAAGTCGGTTTTTATTTTTTTGTTGAAAAGTTTATATTTTTTTTTTACAATAAACATTTCTTTAAGTATTAATATTTTTCATTTTTGAATTGTTCTTACAAGTCAAACAAGAAATAAATTCTAACTACAATACAGTCATTTTAAATAAAACTATCTTTTCGGATTTTGTCGCGGATTTATTTGCATTTTTGTTTCCCGACGTTTCGAATGCTTCACAGCATCCATGGTCACGGGAGAGACTGAGGTCTTCAAGGTATAGTCATGTCTTGAAGGTATAGTTGTTACAGACAGCCTACCCACAATTAACAAAATGAAAATTGCACCAATTACATTACAATATTTTTTAACTTTAAACATTTTTATAATTTTAATTATAATTGAATATGGAATATAATATATAATTGAATTTTAATTATAATTGAATTTATTCGCGTAAATCTAAGAAAGTATTACAATACAGTCAGTTTAGTTATTATCAAAATGGGGATCCGTTAAAAAAATATGATCAATTAGAGATCCGTGGCCAAAAAAAAATTGGGAACCGCTATCTAAAGTGTTGTGGGCTGTGTGGGTCATTTACATAACAATTTGTCTATATCAAATTTGCGTATATTGGATATTTTGCATATTTTATTATATATTTTTTATGCCGCAACTGAATATTTAAATCGATTCTGGTATAATGAATAATAAATTATTGAAAAAAAATATTTATTATTATTTATTAATATTAATCAGAAAACTTACGATATCCTTATACAATGTAAAATTATTATTACCTATAGGCTTACAAGCTTAGATACCCAAGGGAAGCATTGTACATTGTAAAATAAGTGTATGGGACTGTAAGTGTTTATGTCTCTTCTACTCGTAAGTGGTAAAATAGCATGATCCTGACGTTTCAATTGGATTGCACCAGTGCAGCCGTGGCCACTGGGAGTCAGGCGGTGTGCAGCTTCACAGGCTACGACTAAAGGTGTCTATAAAAAGAAAAATTGAGTTAGGGTACCTGCATAAAACAACTTAACAACCCAAACACACTGCAACATGAGAATTGAGAAATCTGCAGAAACGTAGCTGCTGCACTGGTAATGATTTATTACGTATTTTTTTTTAAAAAGAACACCTAACATAAAATTTAAAATTTTTACGATATTTTTGAATATTTATTAAGACTTTACAATGTGTGTTTACTGGTAGGCTGGTTCACGACAATGTTACACACGTTATGTTAACAAGGAGTTTTTACTTTACGAGTCGAGTACTAACATTGTATACTGTTCCTACGCGCCATGTCGGTAATAAAGTTTTATTGAATTAACTGTGTATTATGTACTTAATGTTAATCTGCTCTTTTAAATTGTGTCATTGTAATTATATCGTTTTATTATTCAATTATATCCATTGGATTAAAATATACATATGTATTATGTAATGTATACCTATATGTGAAATATGAAAGGCCTGTTTGTTTCAGAAGCTCAAATATATCTAAAAAGTGTTTAATTCAAGATTAAATAGTGTGGGAAATGGGAATACAAGCGGAGGTACAGAATTTCCAGGAATGCGTACTCTCGCAACCTTGCGTGCCAGGCACGGAGCGTACCGGCACCGGCAAAATATTCTCGTCCACAATTGTTACCGCTCCGTGCATGGCACGTGACGGTGCCGGTCCGGTGACGGAACGGTCAAGTGGGCCGAGTCCCATACTTTTCAATACAGAATATTTTTTTGCCTGACGCGGTCCTAGCACGGTCATGGTATGGGACGGTGTAGTGGGCAGGCACATACCTTTATGACATCTTTTACATACATACGAGCTTCGTATTTTAGACATAATTCGAGCTGTGGAAAAATGCAAGAAAGAAAAGAAATGAATATCCGCTGTAGTCCCACCAAACAAGCAAAATTCAAAAACCAGAATTTACAAGTGACGTGACTAAGCAGTTTTTTTTTTGGGTAGAGCGGCTCATGATGGACGTGAGTGTGTCACTTTGAGCCTGAGTATTATTCCGATCGGTTCAGTAGTTATCGCTGTATAACCTAACAAAAAAATGGGCTCTCCATTTATTAGTATAGATGAGAGTCTATAACATAAAAAGTTATAATTAATATTTGCTGGAAAGTTTAAATATATATAAAAAAGATGGATATTAAAGGGCTTTTTTTCGAGATGAATGGTATAAATACTTATATTTCGTGACTATTCCATATCTAAAACCTCAACGTGACCATAACTATGTAACATATAATCTTTTACAATTAAGACTAATGTAACCACAGTACCACATACATAATTGTGTGCTTTTAAAATTTTCAAGCCGATCGTCGAGAAATGTACATACATACATACAAGTTACAACCAAAACAGCATTCACTCTTTAACCCTTCTGTTCATAGAATATAAATTATACTTCTCCATACAATTTATATAGCTATATGATAAAAACCATTGTGTAATGAGTTGTTGGAATGTCTTCCGCCTGAACTTTTCTCACTGAAACGATGTGGGGCTCCATAAGAATTGACGTTTACAGGTCAAGTTCGCAACACATTCACTGTACTACAATTTTGTATCGTTATTGATATGCACTTTGTTTTCTGCACATTCAGGCATTTCAATAACTCATGTTTGATAGCCTAATTACTTGTTTGATTTTTTTTTAATATTCTTATGTGTAAATAATTATCGATTAAGAGCAATGGTAGCCAATTCATATCACGCCCATTTGAATATGCACGGTATGAGAAGCGGGTTCAAATCCTCGGTAATGTCTATGTGCGAATCTTTTTCATGATTATACCACTTGCCATGACAATGACTACGGCCTGTTCCCCTCGTATTGCGACGTTAAAATGGCCGAATTATGTAATTTATTTAAATATATTGAAATTCGATTTAATGAAGCGGTTAATTATGTATAGTAATGTGTAGAATATATATGTAAATAGTTGTTTCTTGTTTTAGATGCTCCAGGAGAAACGGCTATGCATCCTGGGCGCGGAACTCTCTGAGCTGGACATCTTCGAGCGGTTATTGCGATTCTCCGGCGCTCAACTGCGACTGCTACAGTGTTTTCAGGTTAGAAAAATACTATTTCCATATTATTTATACATTGAAGTTAATAGTCCGTATACAGTATGTAGATGAATAACTGACGTGATTGGTTCCCGTAAAAAACCGATATTACGTAAATATAATAGCTAACATAAGTACCTAATCATCAGGAAATTAATAACGCGTATAGCTTGTAGCGTGAACAAACTGTAGCGTGAGCTGAGCGTTAATCTCAAGAGAAGAGAATTATGGACCTGGCTAGTATATTTGGCCAGTTTTGTTTATAAGTATCGTAATGTTAAATTCGACAAGAATCTGAAAATTTATATTTTCTACTATTGCCACAACGTTCATTTTTCGTCTTTGATAATATTTGCCCTTGTGCTCAAGAATGAAAGATAAACCGCCAAAAAAGACAGAAAATACGCATAAAATAATAACATTTTATGCACCCATATAATATATATGTACCTATTAGTAGGCGTACGACAGAACAACAAACATTTTATGCGTTTTACATGGTACCTACTTAGAATGGTGATGAACTTTGGCGGAAAAGCTCGAGCTCGATACATAAAATGAACAAAATTTTAATTAATTGAAGATGCATAACTTATACATATATGTCTGTATATGTACGAGTAAGTACCTACTAGGTGCGACTCTAAATGCCTTTTTGCTATACATACATCATATTTACACCTATAATGTAGCTTTCTATATGTGAAAAAAAAATCAGAATCGGAAGAGTAGTTTCAAAGATTATCCCTACATCCAAACTTACAAAGTAAACCTTTATATTATACACTAGCGACTCCTTATATCCTAAAAAAGTATCCTATATGCTGATCCAGATAACCAGCTATCAGCATACCAAAATTCATTAAAATGTGTCTAGTACTTTTCTCGTGATGCGTTATTATACAGTTAGATAGACAGACAGACAAAAATTCTTAAAACTATAGATTCGGCCTCTGTATCGATAATAATGACTATTTCAATAGGATTTAAAAAATATATTTTATGTACAGATTCGACTCAGAATTTTATTATATGTATAGATAGATAATATAAGTAGGTAATTAGTGTAGATCAATATTAAACTTTAATTCTTTATTATGTTATATGAGTATTTTTGAAACTCAAGGCAAAACTTGACCTTAGAATATGACAATAACAAAATGTCAGAATAAACTCCGCGACCTTGCCAGCCATCAGACGGCCTTACCGACCTACCGTTGCCTACCGTTGACCTATTGGCATTTATATCGTTCTTTGTTGAAAGTGAGAAAGAATAGGCCCGTAAGTAGCTTGCGAAGATTATTATAGCTTTTATGTAAAAAATACAAAATATACTCACGAGTTTGACTGAATACCTATTAATCTCAGACTAAGAAATAATATAGACCGAGTGTCATAGAACTAAACATTTAAGCAAAATTTTTGTACAAAAATAATATATTTAATGGATTTTTATAAATAAAATTTTATAATCTTTGAATCTCCGCAATAAATAAGATCCCGGGTCTTGCATCTCTGATATTTATGTGCGAATCATTTCCAACATGATTACCACTTATGTTACGGTAAAGGAAAACATAGTGAGGAAACCTGCATGTCTGAGAGACCCTAGCAAGTTTCGAAAGACATGTGGAATCCGCCGCCAACTCGCACTTGGCCTGTGCGGCGGAGCTGACTATGGCCTGATCCTGAAAAGGTCAAGGTCCCTGAAAAGAAAAAACAAATACCATTATTCTCTGAAAAAAGTAAACGATCTCCGTGGCAACATCGGGAATAGTAGCAAAAACAGCAATGATGCTACTGTTTGTAACTTTGACATTTATTTTGGCTCCGTCTGGACTCCGTCTATATTACTCTGAGCTGTTAATACAACTTCTATACGGTTTCATTGTTTTTTGTTAACAATAAATAAGTCACGCGGGAGGTAACGTGAAATGTAAATTGATTTTCACTTAAAATCTGCCTATCGCACTCGGTCCACCCACCTTCGGCATTTGAACAGAGTAATGATGGTATGAAATATTATATGTAATTATTTATATAACTAATATACAAACTTATGTAAGTAGAATTCAAAGTATAAGTTTTTCTTAGAATAAGAAAGGATAGCTCTGGTTTTGTAATTGAGATGTACTTGGAACATTTTCAAAAAAGAATTTATTACTCGTATATATTTTCAAACAATAAACAATTTAAACGGTTATTTTTACAACATATATGAAATTAATAAAATCATGTACTATGTGTAAGGTACTAACAGTTAAAATCCAGTCGGTCGTAGCGTTCAATGTCATTTCCATTAAGGCGTCAACGCGTCAATAATGCGGCTGCGCGATGCGTGCACGCATCTGCTCCTGCGAATCTGTATGAACGTTCAGTTAAAGATGTTCTCTATATTATATCTAAGGTGTATTTTCTCCATTGAAATGGAGCTGAGATCGACGTGTTTTTGTATAAAGGTGGATTACACGATGGAGATTGGCAACTTTTTATCGTGATTCCCGGGATAGTCAAGAATTCCTCGTAGGATTATTAGCATATTGGAAAAAGTAACTTAGGATGTGTTGTATTGACCATATAAATGTTGGGTATCGCCATCCATCACGTTGTACTTATCTCAGTGGATACTATTAAAAGTGGATCATTAAAATTAATGAAGCACATGTTGTCTTCGTGTACACTGTACACAAAGAGAAAACGTGAAAAATATTTATTTTATATACACTCAATTTTTATTCTTCTGTAAAATATATAGTACGACGCGCAATACACCTGCTTGGCCAATAAAGATTTAAATGTCATTATAGGCTATAGCAAAATTGCTGGTAGTTAGTGGAAAAAAGATGAAAATATTTTAGGTGAAAACAGAATTTAATGCGTTAGGAAAAAAGATATAATAGATTAAGTAAAGCTGCAAAAGTTAATAAGAGAGCCCTCAGGGCATTTTTGTATAGTTCGTGATAATCGCGTCAAACTAATATTATATTACGTACACTAGCGAGTCACCCTCGCTTCGCTCGAGTTCGTCCCTAGATAATTTGATATATAGGTATGATGAGTTGTATATATATATCTCTTACTTGAGAAATGATTGATTCCCCATTCAAAGTTCCACCTTTTCACCCCCTTAAGGGATAATTTCCAGGGTAAAGGGTTTCCTAGGGTCTCAAACTATCTCCATATCAAATTTCGCTTAACTCGGTTCAGCGGATTAAACGTGAAAAGGTAACAGACAGACAGAAAGAGTTACTTTCGCATTTATACTACATTATTTATATTATTAGTATGGATACATGGGAAATTTATAAGTGAGTGTAATGTGATCCGTGTTACGCCTAAATGGATTTGAGTAAAAATCGAAATAGGTCATAATATATCGGACATTATATTAGGCAATTTATCAACGTAAGTACATATGAGCGTTGCATGTGAGCGGAGCCACAGGCAAAAACTTGATATTCACAAAAGTGTCCGAACTAAATTATTATATATTTTTTATAGAATAGAAGTCAACATTTTTAACGCCATTCATCGATATTCATATAAATATGTCACATATTACCACGTGCTTGCGCGCGCGCTTGCAATTAATCCAATTATAGCACCCGTTATACCAGCCTGTATCAAGATTCTCAATCGAATAGCAACATATACGTATACATTTACCCGCTTCTTCATTATCAAGACTGACAGACGGAGTTATGAGTGATACCTACACATATTTTTATTTAAAAAAGTGTCTAATTCAATTCACACATGGTAGAAGTGAAACTTCAATAAAGTAACTTAGGATAGAATGAGATGAATTTAGAGTATCAGGAGTAGTATAATTATAACGTTTATTTTTTTTATAATATTTTTACCAAGTTTAAAAGTTATTTTACATCTTATTTGACATAAACATACATTTGTCAGACAATAACAACGGTTACCATGGTAACATGGCAATTATTCTATCTCATTATCTCCCCGGCTTAATCCTGTATATTTATGTGTTTGTCTCTTTTTAGTGTCGCAGTTCCGTTTCATCGAATTTCAAACAACGATTCCAAAGAAGTTTCAAAAAATAATTAAAAGAATAGGTTTTGTAAAAAAAAATAGCTTTTTCTTTATGTAAAATTGTATATTTTATTATTTTGTTACAATATAAATGTTGTTAAAATGTGGTTGGTAGTTTTTTCAATTATTTAAATATAAAAGAAACAAACAAGTGCGAGTAATAAAATATTATGGATAGTTACATAATTTTTATGTGCATACTTACATAAAAACTTTTTAACAAAAAAATAAAAACCGACTTCAAACAAAAGCACTAAAAAGTGAAAAATAACTAATTGGTAGTTTTCGTTTACTATACATACCTAATCAAATATTTTCGAAGTTGGTGTGCTTTGGCTAAGTAATTAAAGCCTACCTATTAAATACATACCTAATCAAATATTTTCGAAATCGGTGCCAGCCCATACAAAGCAAAGCACACCGACTTCGAAAATATTTGATTAGGTATGTATAGTAAACGAAAACTACCAATTAGTTATTTTTCACTTTTTAGTGCTTTTGTTTGAAGTCGGTTTTTATTTTTTTGTTAAAAAGTTTTTATTTTTCCCTTTTTAGTGTAGACAGTAGTAGCAAAGTAAGGATTCTAACGTGTTAGGCTTGTCAAATCAAACAAAATAAGCCCAAACTCAAAGTATCTACTATTAGCCGTTGAAGAGTTCCACCTATCCACCTTCTGGCCTTGCCATCAGATCAGGTCAACAACACCGAACCACTGTACTATCAACGGAAATAGAAATACTTGCAAAGTTTCAAGTCAATATGACAATTAGAAGTACGTTAAATTCATCATTAGTTGTTTTTCCACCCTTAGGGGTGGTATTTTTTTTATGAAATTTAAATGGGACCAATCTGGAAGTATACCCTTTCAAACGACACAAAAATTGTTCAAATCGGTTAATAAATGACGGAGTTCTGAGGTAACAAACATAAAAAAAAAAAAAAAAAACATACAGTCGAATTGAGAACCTCCTCCTTTTTGAAGTCGGTTGAAAATACAAGTATTTACATACTTTTCTATTAATAAAAACTTATTGTATCTTCATTTTATTTTACAAAAAATAATTCAGTAGTTTAAGAGTTTATCGCCTAAAACTAAACAAACAAACACTAAATTAAATTAATCATTTAAAAAACCCGCGACATATAATTCTTCATTTTGTGGTGGCGGCCATCTTGGATTTGAAATTTATTATAGTGTCTAGTATTCTACTAGTCAAGGTCTTTCATTTGATACCCATATGGAGAGAGTTGTGAAAAAATCCGCTATTTTATGGCGTCGGCCGTTTTGGACCGATTTTCATCAAACATAGCTAAGAACACTCCCGACTAATTTACCTACCAAACAAAAAAATAAATAAAATCAAAATCGGTTCATCCGTTCGAGAGCTACGATGTCACAGACAGACACACACACGTCAAACTTATAACCCCCCGTCGTTTTTGAGCAATTTATGTATCTCTAATTTCGTATAAGAATTTAAAATATTGGTACAGTATTTCTTCTGGCCGAATTGTAGTTACTTAATAAATGTTTTGATTAGCTGATGTTACGTAGTAAAAATTGCCTTTATGGAGCGTGATAAAAAAAGTCTAAATAATTCATAGGGATAAAAAAAAACCTCTATTATATATATCTAAAATTGTAAATAAGCATACAATATATAGTCTGTTCATAAAGATGTAATCGTAGCCTTTTAGTCTGTTTTGCTTATTACTAATATGCTTACACATTAAATCGGGCCTATGAACTGTATTGCGTACCTTTCAACTCTGCACAGCAGCTGTTCAAATATAATATGTACATTGTACACAACGTCACTGATCGAATTATTATGATGTAATTATAATAGACGAGCCAAAGAAGGGAATAAAGAAACCTTGCACCCTGTAATATATATATATATATATGTACCATATATGAACCCTTAATATAGGGAGGTGTGTTAAAGGCTCGTCAGATTAGTAAAAAAAAATCGACCCTCAGAAAAACTCGAGCGCGTCAGATTAAGACAAGGTTAAGTACATGCAGAAAAGTGAATATAGCAATAAACTGCAATTTGAGCGTGGCATACGGAAATGGTCACTACGAAATACACGAGCGCGATAGATTTTTTTTTATTTTGAAGGAAATCCTATTAGGATTACGAAAAACATAATCTGACGATTTTCTTGGAGCGATGTAGCTAAAACCATCAATAAAGGATGAAGCGTACAGAATACAGATGCTGGGAACTGTATATTTCCCACTTCGCGCCTCTCTTTCCTTCTCACTCTTTATATCTCACTTTCTCGCACCGTCCCCACACTACCGTCTGCCGCCATGATGCCATCTCAGCTGATCACAATAACATGTTTGTTTTTAAAGTTGTGTTAATACCGTTTTTTTTCAGAATTAGGTAATATTAATTATTGAAGTATTTAGTTACAAGATTATAATATTGTAACTAAATAGTTCAATAATAGTGATATTAATCTCAGGTGTGTCTCTCACTACTGTTATCTTGTTCAATATTATTTGTAGTAGGTTTGTAACTACGTATTTAATATTGCAACTAGTATAATAATGTAATCTGTGATACTGGTAATAAATTTTATTATCAATAAGGTCCTTTAAAGTAATAAATGAATTTGTAGGTACGTTTTGAAATATTTTTTTTGAAACTGTCATGTTGGAAATATCCCTCCATGTAATTGTCAAATTATCATTTAGGACGACTAGAACATCTTTTTTTCCATCATTTTTTTTTTACATTTTCTAAAATCATGACTTTTGGTCACGTCCAAATCGTCAGTCATTTGTATAGGACACTTTTTGATTTCACTTAATATTCCCTCTGAATATCTGACACGCTCGAATAACTCCTTTGTTTCTTTTCTACCCCATTTTTCGGCCACCCCCCATATAATAAAATTCTAACTAAGCCGAATCTGTACATTAAATATTTTTTAGAAAATCTTATTGAAATAGTCATTATTATCGATACAGAGACAGAATCCAAAGCTTTTTGAATTTTTTTCTGTCTTTCTGTCTGTTCTCATCTCAAGCATTATATAATAAATTAATAAATTCATAATAACTTTGCCATATTATCTTTACGAAGCGGAAGTCGTTTGAAATTCTTGTTATGAAAGAAATATTTAAAGAAATATATAGCACAACTACTCGTACATCTGTTACATGGTCATTTAACTGCCTCGGTGGTGTAGTGGCTAGCTTGTACGGCTGCACACCTGGGTTCGAGTCCCGGGTCGGGCCAAGTTTAATTATTGAGTCGTCCTGTATAGTAAGTCTCAGTAACAGCCCGGAGTTGGGAAGTTGGCGGTGTTTCACCCCCGTGCCTCGGAGAGCACGTAAAGCCGTCGGTCCTGCGCCTTAACTCTCACCGGTCGTCTCGAGTGGTCGTCCCACCGGAGTATGAGAGTGATAGGAATAGAGAGTGCACTTGCGTCTGCGCGTACACTTGAGCACTATAATATCTCCTGCGCAGTTTGCTAATCTCATTGAGATTGCCGTGGCCGGAATCGGTTAGGAGAACATCATCATCATCATCATCACGTGGTCATTTCTAAGGAATGATGTTGTCTTTATCAGGATTTATTATAATCGCCTGAGATACTCTTTGACTATTTTGAGCTTACGGTTACCGTATAACATATCATACCTTTATTTTATGAATCGTACTTAAAAAGTTAAGGCAGTGGTAGCCCAGTGATAACGCGCTCGCTGGGGAAACTGAGTGAAGCCGGTTCAAATCCCGGGTCTCGCATCTCTGATATTTTTATGTGCGAATCATTTCTAATATGATTACTATTTACCTCACGGTGAAGGAAAATATCGTGAGGAAACCTATATGTCTGAGAAAACCTAGCAAGTTTTCGAAAGACATGTGAAGTCCGCCAACCCGCACTTGGGCAGCGTGGTGGACTATGGCCTTAACCCCCTCGTATTGAAGGGAGGCGTACACAGCAGAAGAACGTTCAAAGGGCTGAACAGATACTTAAAAAGATGTTTTTTTTGCTTTTAATTCCAGTTTAGTCTTTTTTTTTGGATTAATTGTATTTAAACTTTAACTTAGTGATTGCACCATATCTCTATCCTGTTCCATATGTAATACCTACTCAAGTCTAGCATTATACATTGTAAAATGTATACGGCTTAATAAATATTGTTGCAAAGCTGCAATGTTTACATTGTGGGAATGTCGTGTGGCTAGTGCAAATTTTGCTTAGACGAGTCATGTTACTAGGTAGACGGACCATTATACTTGGGGAAACACAATGTCTTTAATAGTAGCATGACCTAAGTTTTAACGGTCATAGTTGTGCATACAATCGTATTTCTATTTGTTTTTCTACGTCGGTAAGTATACTTGTTTTATCGGATAATAAACTATGATAATGATTATCGAGTGCTATGCTGTATGTACGTATATCGTTTTCATTATAATAGATATTTTCAATTAATTTTTTGAAGTGAAACTTCTTTAGAATTGTTGTGATTTGAAACTCGATGAAACGGAAATGCCACACGAGAAAGAGACAAACGCATAAATATATAGGATTAAGCCGGTGAGATAATGAGATAGAATACATTGTACAAGGAAGTGAAAAATAATAATGAATAAATTATGTTATGTATTATATGTTAAATGAAATGTAAAATAACTTTTAAACTTAAAAAAACTGAACCTCACAATTATTTTAAATATATTTTTTTTATTTTTATAATAGATAATTATTACTTATAAAAATGAATATTTCTTATTTGCCATGGTAACTATTGTTATTGCTGAGAAATGATATATAACTCTATATTCTTTCCGTATACGATATTCTATATTTATATCTTTAAACGAGCAATTCTTGTATATATGTATATATATAATCTGAATCTCGGAAACGGATCCAACGATTTTCATGTAATTTAGTATACAGGGAGTTTCGGGGACGATTTCATACTTGTGAGATAAGTTTTGGACAAGTTATTCATTTAATATCTTCTCTGACACTTGTAATTAAACGCTATGGTTTTATCACAAATTTGATAATCAATATTCTCTACAGAATATTTTGCACCCCTGCGAGAGTATCAAATTCGTAAAAGCCATACCATTGCACACAGCACCATGAGGAATATAACATCCAATAATATTTTATTTATCATAATTGTTTTCTTGTTAAAGGCGGTGATTGAACACGGGTCTAAACTATCCGCAGAACTAGCTAGCGGGTACTTGGCAAGATGTGATGCCAACACAAAAACACAAAACTCTCTAATACAACTTGGCCTCAGATTGGGTGAGTATTACTGTGTTGTGTAGTTTAATAAACTAGCTTATTATATGTATCACTTAAATATGTGGCATTAAAATTTTCTGAACGATTTTTTTATAATAAATAGAAGGAAAATGGCAGGCAAATGATAAGGGAGAGCAGAATGTCTTTAATCTATTTCTAGTCCAGGTGTTCTTATGATTTATGACCCTTTTATACCAGCATAGGTATAAGCTTATATCCGTTAAGAATGTATGAATGGATGATTGTTACGCTTTCATGCAAAAACTACGAATGGATTTTTATGAAACTTTACATTTACACATATTTAATACAATAGAATTATAATTTATAAAGATACAGATTTACATAAATAAAGTACAAGAGGGGAGCCGCGGGAAAAAGCTAGTAGTGAAATAAGCCTCAAAAGTCAAAACAAATAAATGAACATTGTTCGACAGGTGGGTTCCTCAACGAGGCGGGCTGGTATGCAGACGCACAACGCGTCTTGCTGCGATGTCGCGATCTCTGTCAAGCGCAACCGCAGACCACACAATACAAACGTCTGACGCTGGAATGCTGTCACAGGTACCTACTATGCAATCTATACAAATATTTATATTTGAAGTGTCTGTTTGTAATGTCAAAATTACGGCTTTTTATTAATTACCAAATGCATATGATATTATATACGGTACTCATAAGAAAACCACATTTTTTTTTAATTTTGGTCTGTCTGTTTGTTCAGGCTAATCTCTAAAACGGCTGGATCGATTTTGACGTGACTGGAAAATAGTTGATGTTATGATGAGTGACTTAGACTATTTTTATTTTAGAAAAACGTTTTAGGGGTTCCACGTATAAAAATTAAAATCTATGAAATTATGAACAACATCGTACCTAGGGAATTAGGGACGCACTCGAGCGAAGCAAGGGTAAGTCGCTAGTGTATAATAATATATTTTCAGTGTATGTAAATCTAATTAGAATAATTAATTTCTAAAAGAAAACGGTCAACACGTAGCAAGTCAATTGCTCAGTTTAAAATTACTAAGATCCACTCTTATTTATAGTTAAACGGGACAAAAATTAACTTTTTTTTTAATTATTATGGTTATTATCTTCCTACGAATTCATATTATTTAAATTACTGCTAACGAAACGTTATACCACGTTGTTGCTGTATGGACGTAAATGACCCTTCGCGGAACTACGGTGTTTGGCTATGAGAGGTTATTGCACTTGGGTTATAAATATTATTAATCTAAATGAGAATATCTTCAGTAGTTCAGGAGTTAACTTCTTACATCCAAACTCTTCAATATATCTTTATATAACGCTATTATAACTCGCCTATAGATGTCTAACAGTAGCCTATATGTTAGGTCATAGACTATCTCTGTTCTAAATTCCATCCGAATCCGTTCAGTCGTTTTGACATGTAGGAATAAAAAATATACAAATGTACAAATTTTCGCATTTATGATAGTATAACATATTTTCAGATTACTTAATACACAGTCAGCGTACTGCTGTTTCCCGGCCGCCGCGGAGACGTACGCCCTAGCGTTAAAACTACTAGGCTTGGAAGACAGGCCAGACAAACTGCCCACAGATGCCTTCTCAGAAGAGATTTGCTCCAAAGCTTTACAAGATGACGATGAGATACAAGAGTAAATATTTACATAATTTGTATATTCAGGATTTATATTATTTATTCTTAATATTGCGTTTTTATCCCTCTGAGAGTGCTTTTGTGTTTGAGCACGACTATACAATAGATATTCATTTCAATATGTCCAAACCTACCATCGAAATCGCTCAGAGGGTCATTCTTATTATTGCTTTATTATTTCTGACTACCCCACAAAGGATATAGCGTGGAACCAGTTTTTATGCTTAAACGTAATCTTGAGTCTGGGAACATTCTTGTTTTTGTACAACTATATAATGACCTTTGAAATGTCTATAACCTTAGTCTCTCCCGTGACCATGATTGCTGTAAAGCATTCGTATCGTCAGGAAGCAAATATCAAAATAAATCCGCGAAATAATCCGAAAACATATAAGTTTAAATATAATATAATAAATATGAATAAAAATAATTTATGTTTATAATATATATGTATTTAAAGTTATATATATATATATATATATATATATATATATATATATATATATATATATATATATATATATATATATGTAGTGTATCAACTATCTGGTATCCATAGCACAAGCCTCGTAGCTTACCATGGGACTAGATGGCGCTGTGTGTTAATGTCTCAACATATTTATTTATTATTTATTTAATAATCCAACCGTAGTTCAACGTGCGCGGAGGCGGGGGCGGGTGCGGACGGGGACGCGTGTGGCGCGTGGCGCGCGTCCACGCTGCTGGCGCGCCTCTGCAAGGAGTTCAGCGCGCTGTTCTTCGTGCGCTGCGACTACAGCGCCGCGCACCGCTGGAGCATGCTCGCGCTGCAGCTGCTCACGCCGCACACGCCCGTCAAGTGAGTCGCATCACACCACACGTCACATCATATCACACCACACCACACAACGCATCACACCACACATCACATCGCGACTATACTACGTAACACATCACATTGTACTACACTACACATCATACCAAGCACTATATTGTCGCCTTAGTGCTTATTATAGAACAAATGTTCAAACTATCAATACTCGTTGTACTTTACAGTAGTTTTTTTTTCACTCATTTAAAAACAATGTAGGTATGTAACATACAATATATATATATATATATATATATATATATATATATATATATATATATATATATATATATATATATATATATGGATAAAATATATTTTTTCGGATATTTTTAATGTAAAATTTGTATTTAATACCAATATTTGTCTGTACGTTTAAAAGTCAATAATTCGGTATTAAAAACTGAGACTGAGACGACGAAAAAAGGGCAGAGTACAAACATTGGCGCCTACAAAATTAGGTTTAGAATAAGTTCGCATTCCCTTGCATCCTCAGTCCGGCGTCCCATGAGTACAAGCACATGACTAAGTACCCTATAGACACAAAGCGGCATACAACCTCCAAACTATAGACTGCATCATAAGTTATAACTCATAAAGGCGGCACGTGCGTTATACGCGGTTGTAGGAAGCGTTGTCTCTGTGGGGATAAATGAATGAAATGAATAAAACCAATGAATTTCTCTACTGACATTACCTGACATTGTCACAACACTTTATAATTTAGCATAGATGCAACAATTGTATCAACTTTTTATATGAATAATATACATTGTTTAATGATCACTCTTCACCTTTATTCTAATGTCATGGTCACATGAGTATAATAAATACAGTGTAACTAAAAACAATGAATAGAATTTTCAATAAATGTAAAAAATGAAACAGATTGAAATGTAATATTTAATTGTGGATGGGCACACGAATTTATTAGTGAGGGAAAATAATATCGACAGTAAATTGTCAATATCGATAAATTAGTAATTTTTTGGCGTGTAGAGTAAGTAGGTGGAATGGAGTGGTCTTTTAAGAATCGCATGCTGTAGTCTTGTTGGAGTATATAGAATTTGCATTTAAGTAAATAAGCAAGAAAAACGTTATGCATATGTTTAATGCAATGTATATCGCTCATTCTAAATGAAATTTTTTTACTAAAAATGTGTCCATTGGAATTTGTCCATCCACTTTTGGGTGACAAATGAAAAATAAAATTTATGATATTTTATTATTCAGTTCGGCTAATCTGTAAATCATATACCATTTCATACGCTATTTTATAACTATACTATTTTTAAATGTATATTAATTGTGTGTGTAAAATATTAAAAAAGCATATAAAAAGAATACCAAAAAAATAAAAATATTCTTAAAAAAATTGGACTTGAGAAATTTTCAGTGACCTCTCCATCTTTATTTTAACGAATTTAAAGAACAAGGTATATTTCATTCACTTTTTCATGATAAAGTTAAATTGTTATTACTCAGTTAAAGCACACTATATCAACTACAATTTATATTTTACAATGATGCACTTTTAATATGAGAATTTCTCAGGGAATATTAAATACATATAAATGTTCATACTTATTGTATGTTTTAATAACGGTAATCATCACAGCCAGACTATAATAAGCAAGTTTCTTATGAGACTTATGTATAATAATAACTAAATAGCATTTCCCGTTGTTTATGCATTACTTAGGAGTGGTTCTAAGCTCATATTATCTTCTATTCTTCATCCCCAGAGGATGTACTGCATAAAATTTTGAATTCTCTAAAAACTCTTAAGAAGTTGTTCAGTGCGGATTTTCGCTTAACTTCTCGTATTGAAGGAATACCCGTACCTAGCATAAAGATGTCATTTTATTTAAAATATCAAATATTCGCATTAATCTAAGAATATATAGTCAAACCTGAAGTGAGAGAATTACTCTCACTTATAGAGTTTTCTCGCCAGGTCCTGCCAGGCTCTTATAACAGAGAAACATATACCTTTATAAGAGAAAGTCGTTTTTCATCCGTGGACTTCTATAAAAGAGAAAGGCCACTCTGTGCCTCTATAAGTTAGAACTCGGGTTAGTGAGAAAACTCCATAAGCGAGAAAGAGATCGCGGTTCCTTGAAATCTCGCTTATCCAGGTTCGACTGTATAATATATAATTATTTATTATAAATTTCACAGAATAACGATCGAAGTTCTCCGCGCGTGCGGCAAGGCGTGCGTGGTGAAGCGGCGGTTCTCGGAGGCGGGGCTGCTGGTGCGGCAGGGCGTGGCGCTGGCGCGCGCGGCCTTCGGCGCCGCGCACCCGCGCTACGCCGCCGCGCTGCTCGACTACGGCTTCTACCTCCTCAACGTGGACTCCATCACGCACAGTGTCGCCGTTTATGAGGTTGCTGTGCTTCCATTTCTTTATTTTTTAGTTCGAGACATTAACATACAGCACCACCTAGTTCCATGGTAAGCTATAAGGCTTGCGTTTTGCATATCAGATATTTGATACATTACACATAACATTATATTTAACTTTAAATACATACATATTATAAATATTGTTTGGAAATAGGTACATATATGACGAAGAGTGTTGTGAGTCATTGACTTGTAGGCAAGGTCCTATGTTTATACATTATAGATAAAAATAATATATAAATAATATAGATAATAGAAAAACTGTTTTCGTAAAATAAATAAAAAAAACAAGAAATCACCCTTTTTCAACATTTCCATGAATTTTTCATATTTGGGGAATATGTAAAGTTCCGCGAAAATCCGGCTCGAAGGACCAAAAGCAATTTCCAAACAAAAAATGAACTAAACACAAAAAAGTAATACTGCGTTACTTTAAATAACGTAAAATATTAACACTTTTTCTAATATCTAAATACACATGTATGTACGTACGTCTCCTGAATTAAACTATGAAGTATAAAGACATAATTGTTATGTATAAATAATATATATATTATGTATGTATTATGTATATATTATGTATATATTATGTATAAATAATCCCCGCTACTGTTTACAGTAGCCTATGTCATTCTCCAGCCCTCCCACTATCTCCACACAAAACATCACGCCAATCCGTCACTCAGTTTTGACGTGAAAAAAGGACAAACAAACACACTTTCACATTTATAATATCAGTATGGGTGTGTGGGTGACAGGAGGCGCTGAGCACGCTGCGGCGCGTGTTCGGGCGCAGCAGCCTGCACGTGGCCACGGCGCAGGAGGACCTCGCGTACGCGCTCTACGTGCTGGAGTACTCCTCGGGCCGCTTCTACAAGGCGCGCGACCACGCCGAGCGCGCCATACGCATCATAGAGGTGATACGACCTTCTCGTTCACTTTGCCACTATATATAATCTAATCTAATTGTTTTAAACGAGCAATTCTTGTATATTTATTTATTTCTTTATATATACCGGCGATCTCGGAAAGAGCTCTAACGATTTTGCTGAAATTTGGCATGTAGGGGTTTTCGGGGGCGAAAAATCGATCTAGATTATTAGCCTTATGTGGAAAACGCGTGTTTTCGAGTTTTCATGCGCTTTTCTTTCGCATTATTCCACGCAAAATATGGTCGCTAATTTCGCACGGCAAAAGCGTGGTAATGTTACATACAGTATTCCATCTTCATACAAAAGGTCGGAAATCGAGTTATACCTACGCGCGTCGCGTACGGTATACACTCGGTACACAACCGTGCGGGGCTGCCACATCGTATAATTTGGTACGAAAATTTTGTAAGATGGTTATGTTATGTAACTTTTATAACTGGTGTCGGCGACGGAAAACCTATCTTCGAGTAACGTGTGTATTAATATAGGGACAATGTCATTTTAGCGTATTATGAATAATTGTTGTAAATATGAAATCTCATTCTTATTAGATTTATTATGTTAAAATAAGTTCTAATTAGTGTAATAAGGTTAGTTTAGAGTATTTTTTGCTTATTTGAATCATATAAGACTATTTAACATTAATTTGAAAGGAATAGGTACGTAAGTAAAATGTTAGCATATAATTACGTAACTTGAAAATGAGATTTTTTGTTTCTTGCAATAGCATAATAGTTTATGTTTTAAATAATAGATTTTATTATAAAACTTATAATAAAACAAGAATTAGGTCGATAGGACTATCCGTTCAAAAGTTATAAGGGAAAATGTATAGTAAAAATGTAGCAACCTAGAAATTTAGATATTTTTGTTTTAAGACTTTTTTAATTAATTATTATATATTGAATATTATGTTTTAATATTGTATAATAGTATGTAAGGCATGTAAATAAATAAATATGTGTAAGGTGTTTTACTGAAAACATAAAATAAAAGGACTCTCAAGGTTTCGGTTTAGGGAAATTTTATTCGAAAAATGAGCTCAAAGTACGCGGCTCTCTGTAAGGTATTAACGGGCCAAATAAAAGGCGAGCCATTTCTCGATTCGAGTCAGTCGCAAGACAGCCACCGAAGAGGCAACAACTAAAAGGAAAAGGAAGAACCGAAACCAAGAGAGAAAAAAGGAAAAATTGTGTTTTATTTCATCGCCTCTAAGTATAGTCTCCTGTCAACGAAGAAACCCTAGTGGATCGGGACCCAAGCTACGCATTCAGGGGTGCGTGGTGGCGTACATTACCAGCGAACGGACATACTGCCGTGTACGCCAAGAACGTCTGGGAGATTGTCCCAGGTCGACCTCCGGGTACTAGACATACCCTGGTTCTGGTCGTCCGAAACAGTTGGTCCTTCGAGCCGGATCCCTGCTAGAAGAAGTTCAGAAGAAACAGAAGATTGCGTTCAAGATGCCGGTAACCAGGTCGCAGAAGGATGCCCCCTCACGTCCCGGGTCCCGTCCTTCAGATAGGGACGCGACAGATGGAACGTCGGGATCAGAAGGGGTCACGTCAGCGTCGGCGTCATCGGGAACTGCAACTACATCGAACACTTCTTCGGGTACCACGACCACGGAGGGCACCACAGTGACGGAGACTACGGTTACGACTGCAACTACGGCGGCGTCTATGGAAGGCAACAAAGAAGATGCTGCACAGAGGATGACCAGGAAGAGCCAAGAAGATGTACCTGGAAAGGATGTTCAAGGCTCCTCCAAGACCCTGAAACCGATGGGGGTCAGTCGTCGCGCCAGGTCCACGAAGACCACGAGTTCCTCGGCCAGAAGACGCGAGCTAGAAGCAAAGGAAGAGTTGGCACGCCTGGAGTTGAAGCAAGCACAGGCTGAAACTAAGCTAGCCCGTGTCAGATTGGAGATGGCACAGTGTGAAGAAGAGGACTCCGTGGATGAAGACCTGGAAGACAGAACAGCACAGGTGCAGAACTGGATCGAGACGTCTGTGCTGGAGGATGGCAACAAAGTTCAACCAGAGATGCGAGGTCCACACCCCTTGGAAGAGCCACAGAAGATGAAGCCTGAAGAGAACTCCTCAACGAGAGGAGCTACGATTGAAATTCAAGCACTGACGGCAGCATTGAAGGAAGCTCTTACCACGCGAGGACCAGCAGGACAGCCAACCTACATTCACGAGTTACCCTACTTCGACGGCAACAGCAGCGAGTGGATGGCCTTCAAGGTTGTCTATGAAGATACAGCACCGATGTTCAACAACGTCCAGAATATGGCTCGGCTAAGAAGAGCACTGAAGGGCAACGCAAGAGAAGCTATCAAGAGTCTGCTGTACTCCGAAGCCTCTCCGATGGAAGTGATTCAAGCCCTCAGAAGAAGATATGGAAGACCAGATGCACTGGTGCTGGCAGAGTTGGACAAGGTCAAAACGTTGCCGAAGATTTCTGAAAACCCAAGGGACATATGCCTCTTCGCGAGCCAGATCAGCAACAGCGTAGCGGCAATAAAAGGATTGAAGAAACCACAGTACCTGCATTCACCTGAGATGGTGAAACAAATTATTGAGAAGATGCCTACGATCCTCAAGTTCCGATGGTACGACTTCATTGAAACAACAGAAGAAGGCGAGTTCTCCGACCTAACACTGGTGTCCAAGTTCCTGAACAGAGAAGCAGACAAGTGTGGAGCCTATGCATCAACAGAAGAGAAGAGCGGGTTCAGACGGACTCATCGACAAGCAACGCATTCAACTAAGGAAAAGGACTTCAAAGAAAAGGTTTCAAGATCAGAGAAGACTTGCCCCATGTGTGAGGGTGAACACTTCCTCGTCGGGTGTCAGAAGTTCCTGAAGGCGTCTGTGCAAGATCGATGGGCAATAGTGAAGAAAAGCCGCGTTTGCTTCAAGTGTTTACAAGGGACACATCGGAAGGAGAGCTGCAAGAAGCCGTCGTGCAAGGAATGCAAGAGGTGGCATCATCATCTGCTGCACGTCGAGACAGAGAAAAGTTCCTCGGAAGAACAGAAGAACAAACCACAAGAAGTGGCGAGCATCATGGCATCGGTGAATGCGGTCAACAACGCAAGGGCATACCTGAAGATAATTCCGATAGAAATCTTCGGGTCAAAAGGATCAAAGAAGATATTGGCCCTCATGGATGAAGGGTCAACAGTGTCGCTGCTAGACCAGAAGGTAGCAGAAGAAATCGGCGCTCAAGGAAGAAAGGAGGAACTGGTCATCGAGACTGTTGGAGGCAGACTGATAAGGAAGGAAGACTCTCAGATGCTTGACCTTACGGTGAAGGGGATTCATCAGAAGACCAAGAAGACCTTGAGAAGAGTCCGGACCATCGAAGAGTTGAAGCTTGCACCGCAGTTCCTAGAAAAGAAAAGGATAGAAGAGTGTCAACACTTGAAGAAGATTGCTGACTCTCTATATTATAAGGGGGAGTCACCACAGCTGCTCATCGGTCAAGACAACTGGGAGCTAATCGTGACTCAAGAAGTAAGAAGAGGGAAACCAGGACAACCAGTCGCTTCAAGAACAGGACTTGGATGGGTGCTCCACGGGTCAGACACTGGAGGCGCGAAAGTGGTGCACTTCTTAAACACGTGTCTACATGTCAGCACGCCAGAAGAAGAGATGCATCAAGCCATCAAGGATCACTTCGCAATCGAAGCACCTGGAGTACTACCAAGAAGACCCACTACGGATTCAGAAGGAAGAGCACTCACCATCCTAGAGAAGACCTGCAGAAGACTAGAAGATGGTCGATTTGAAGCTAGACTTCTATGGAAAAATGAAGATGAACAGATGCCTGAAAGCTACACGTCTGCCAAGAACCGATTGTTCAACATTGAAAAGAAGATAGACAAAGACCCTCAGCTGAAGGCAGAATACAATAAGCAGATCCAGCATCTAATCGACAGCAAGTATGCAGAAGAAGCACCTGGTGGACAAGAAGATTCAAAGAAGACATGGTACCTCCCTCATTTCTCCGTGGTACATCCATTGAAGAAGAAAATAAGGATCGTCTTCGACGCTGCAGCCAAGTCTAAAGGGAGAAGCCTCAACGACGCTTTACTACCGGGACCAGACCTACTGCAATCGCTCTTCGGGGTATTACTGAGGTTCCGGCAAGGCCCGTTTGCAGTGGCAGCCGACATAAAGGAAATGTTCCTGCAAGTTCGCATCCGGCCAGAAGATAGAAACAGCTTGAAGTTCCTGTGGCGAGGGGATCGTCGTGACGTAGCACCGAAGGAGTACAGAATGACATCAGTCATCTTCGGCGCGACATCATCTCCTAGCACAGCGATCTACGCGAAGAACCGGAACGCGGCGGACTACAAGAAGCAGTACCCAGAGGCAGCAAAGGCAATCGAGCTGAACCATTACATGGATGACTACCTGCACAGCTTCCATTCAGAAGAGGACTTCAAGAGAATTACAGCGCAGGTGGACTTCATTCACAAAAAGGCGGGCTTCGAACTCCGAGGATGGGCGTCAAACCACTCCGACCTGCTGCAAGACGTGAAGACTGAGTCAGTTGAGAAGACAGAGGTGGACCTTGGTGAGAAGGAAGAGAAGACACTGGGACTACGCTGGTTTACAGAAAGGGACTCCATAGGCTTTAGGGCGAACCTTCGGAACACGCCAGATGAAGTGGCACAAGGACTCAAGGTACCTACGAAGAGAGAAGTCACCAGCGCCGTGATGTCGACCTTCGATCCACTAGGGCTAGCATCACCAATTCTCATCCAAGGCAAAAGGCTGCTCCAGAACATATGGCGAAGTGGCGTCGGTTGGGATGAAGAGATAGAAGAAAAGGAGTACGAGTCATGGAAGACTTACCTGGAGAAGATGAAGCTGCTCCAAGACCTTCAGATCCCGAGATGTCTGGCACCACGTCGCACCGAGGGGGAGCTGCACACGTTCACGGATGCAAGCGAAATGGCGTATGCAGCTACGGTATATTGGAGAACTGAAATCAAAATGGGACTTATGACGTCAGCTTAGTAGCAGCAAAAGTAAGAGTCGCTTCGTTGAAGCCGGTGTCAATCCCGAGACTCGAGCTGCAAGCGGCCCTCCTAGGAAGCAGATTGGCACACTCGGTCGAGGAAGAAATGGATCTGAAAATAGAAAAGAAGACGTTTTGGACAGACTCCAGTATCGTGCTATCATGGATCAAGACGGACCCGAGAACCTTCAAGACATTCGTGGCTCATCGCTTGGCGGAGATAGAAGATCTCACAAAACCACAGGACTGGAGATGGGTACCGACGGCGCAGAACCCTGCAGATGATGCAACACGTGACGTACCAGAACACTTCGACTGCCAACACCGATGGTACACCGGACCAGGGTTTCTAAGAAGAGATGAAGTTCACTGGCCTGCGGCAAGAACATTCAAGAAAGAAACCACTGGCGAAGAAAAGGCAGCGGACATCGTAGCGACTGCAGGCAGCTCCTATCCATCACCAGATCCCGAAAAGTTCTCGTCGTGGAAAAGACTTTGGCGAGCTACAGCAAGAGTACTGCAGTTCATACAACTCTGCAGAAGAAAGGAAAAGGTCCACGCCAGTAAAGAAGATCCTACCTGGAAAACTACAAAAAGGAATAAGAAAATTGTTGAGAAGCGACATCTGTCTTCAAAAACGTCAGAAAGGAAATACATACCATTGGAAACAAGTCTACTAGAGCAAGCTGAAACGCTGTTGTTAAGAAGAAGTCAAGAGAAATGCTTCAAAGAGGACATCAGGTGCCTACAGCAAGGAAAACAATTAGAGGGCAGCAGCAAGTTGAAAAGGCTCGACGTAGTGCTAGAAGAAGGTCTCCTGCGACTGAAAGGAAGAATCGACGCGATACGAGGGGTTACCAGAGACTACAAACGACCCATCGTACTCGACAGCAAGGACAAGACAACACTTCTCATCATAGAAGAATTTCACTGCCGCTTCAATCACGGGAATCACGCGACCGTAATGAACGAAGTAAGACAACGCTTCTGGGTGCTAGGACTGAGGTCAGCGATCAAGACCATTCAACATCAATGCCAGTGGTGCAAAACAAGAAAGGCAAGACCTCAAGAACTACCAGTGGGCAACTTACCTGCTGAGAGGCTGATGCACGGAAACCCTCCATTTACGTGCACGGGAATAGATTACTTCGGCCCTATGACGATCACCGTAGCAAGACGCCATGAGAAGAGATGGGGTGCTCTATTCACATGCTTAACAACACGAGCTGTACACATTGAGCTCACTCCTTCACTCTCCACTGACAGCATGATCATGGCACTACGACGATTCGCCGCGAGAAGGGGAATGCCAAAGATAATCTACACCGACAATGGCACTAACTTCGTTGGCGCCAACAAAGAACTCAAAGAAGCACTAGACACCATGAAGCAAGAAGACCTTATCTCGGAAGCGGAGAAGATCGGTGTGCAGTGGAAGTTCATACCTCCTGGTGCACCAAACATGGGAGGTGCATGGGAGCGTCTGGTGCGATCCATTAAAACCGCACTGGACGCCACGCTCAACGAAAGGCAACCACGAGAGGAGGTACTTCATACCCTCCTGTTAGAGGCCGAGCACATAGTCAACTCTCGGCCCCTCACCCACCTCTCCGAGAACCCTGAAGAAGAAGCACTTACACCGAACCACTTTCTCATCGGGCGATCATGTGGCGCAGCAAGAATCGGCAGCTTCGAGGACAACGAGCTTGTGGGCAGACACACCTGGAAGGCTACGCAGCGACTTGCCGATCACTTCTGGCAACGTTGGCTGAGAGAGTATTTGCCCACTCTACTACCAAGGAAGACCAAAGGAAGAGTCAGCGCCACAGATTTGCAAGTCGGAGACATCGTACTGATCGTCGATCACAGCCTACCAAGATGCATCTGGCCACGCGGAAGAATCCTGCATGTGTATCCTGGACCAGACGGGCGGACCAGAGTCGTCGACGTCGAGACCAGAGGAGGTGTTCTACGGAGGCCCAGTTCGAGAGTGGTGCTGTTGGTGCCGGGAGCGTCGCCGAGTCCAGGAGTTGGTGCAAAGCACGAGGGGGAGAATGTCGGCGACGGAAAACCTATCTTCGAGTAACGTGTGTATTAATATAGGGACAATGTCATTTTAGCGTATTATGAATAATTGTTGTAAATATGAAATCTCATTCTTATTAGATTTATTATGTTAAAATAAGTTCTAATTAGTGTAATAAGGTTAGTTTAGAGTATTTTTTGCTTATTTGAATCATATAAGACTATTTAACATTAATTTGAAAGGAATAGGTACGTAAGTAAAATGTTAGCATATAATTACGTAACTTGAAAATGAGATTTTTTGTTTCTTGCAATAGCATAATAGTTTATGTTTTAAATAATAGATTTTATTATAAAACTTATAATAAAACAAGAATTAGGTCGATAGGACTATCCGTTCAAAAGTTATAAGGGAAAATGTATAGTAAAAATGTAGCAACCTAGAAATTTAGATATTTTTGTTTTAAGACTTTTTTAATTAATTATTATATATTGAATATTATGTTTTAATATTGTATAATAGTATGTAAGGCATGTAAATAAATAAATATGTGTAAGGTGTTTTACTGAAAACATAAAATAAAAGGACTCTCAAGGTTTCGGTTTAGGGAAATTTTATTCGAAAAATGAGCTCAAAGTACGCGGCTCTCTGTAAGGTATTAACGGGCCAAATAAAAGGCGAGCCATTTCTCGATTCGAGTCAGTCGCAAGACAGCCACCGAAGAGGCAACAACTAAAAGGAAAAGGAAGAACCGAAACCAAGAGAGAAAAAAGGAAAAATTGTGTTTTATTTCATCGCCTCTAAGTATAGTCTCCTGTCAACGAAGAAACCCTAGTGGATCGGGACCCAAGCTACGCATTCAGGGGTGCGTGGTGGCGTACATTACCAGCGAACGGACATACTGCCGTGTACGCCAAGAACGTCTGGGAGATTGTCCCAGGTCGACCTCCGGGTACTAGACATACCCTGGTTCTGGTCGTCCGAAACAACTGGATACAAAAACAAACATTTTATTCCTCCCGTAAATTCGCTATTATGTCAAACAAAAAAGTATCGAGACATCGTATGTTTTAAAAATAAAAACTAATTAATTAAATTAAAAATAAAAATTAAAGTATTTTTAATTAAACTTTTTATCCGAATGCGGATTCTTTATACTATTAAATTTAACAATAAAACTTTTCGTGTCTCAGTCGAGGTGCAAATATTTTTAAATCTCAAAATTATAAGGGTCGCATACCACCCTTATAAATTTGAGATTTTTTAATTAAATCCACTAATAATATTTTTTAAATAAAATATATAATATTTGAAATCGCAAAACTATTATTTTTAATTAATCTTAACTTTTTCAAATTACACATAGATCAATTGTGGCTTAAATAATTAATACTATATTTTATATTTTTCTTATGGTTATAAATATAATAATGGCAACACTAAATATAGATTACTAATTAATATTTTTAAAATTGTAATAATTATAAAAATAATAGCAAAAATTAAATAATTTTCCATATTCAATTATAATTAAAATTATAAAAATGTTTAAAGTTAAAAAATATTGTAATGTAATTGGTGCAATTTTTAATCTTGTTAATTGTGGGTAGGCTGTCTGTAACAACTATACCTTCAAGACATGTAACACCTCAGTCTCTCCCGTGACCATGGATGGATATAAAGCATTCGAAACGTCGGGAAACAAAAATACAAATAAATCCGCGACAAAATCCGAAAAGATTTATTTAAAATGTTTAAAGAGTTTTATTTAAAATAGGTAGATGAAATTAAAATACTGGCCGGCGGGCACTCGGGCAGCCCTGTCGCGTGGGTACGTGCCGCTCGGCTGTGGGTAATTATTTCAAGGACAGGCCCGAGTTGGAATACTGTATGCATTACATTACCGTGGCAAAAGCGTCGTGGTAAAGCGGCTAAGGCGCAAGATTGACAATCACTGGTGTCCGGGTTCGAATCCCGGTCGGATACAAAGTTTTTACTTTTGTTTATTTTTTATTTATTCAACGTTTTAGTTATTTTTATCTAAAAAAACACAATATAATAAAAAAAGAACTGCGAGCGAAGCTCGGTTGCCCAGGAACTACAAAGAATAAAACACAATACCTATTCTTTGAAGCCATTTCAGCTTTTATTCGAAAAAGCGTTTTCGAAATTATTTTAATATTATCAACCCCCCACGCAAAAACGACGGGGTGTTATACGTTTGACGTGTTTGTGGCATCGTAGCTCCCGAATGGATGAACCGATTTTAATTTTGTTTATCTTTTTATTTGAAAGATGAATTATTTGGGAGTGTTCTTAGGTTCTTAGGTTTTTTTTAATTTTTAATTTATCACTTGTTAATAATAATAGTATTATTAATAACAAGAAGAATCAAGTCAGGAGACCAAAAGTTAAATTGTAAAAAAAATGATCCAAATATTAATAAATTCACTTGATATTTAAAAACATTATATATAAACATCAAAAATCGAAAGTAATTGTAAATATATATACTATTCTTTATTACACTTAAAAATCAATACATAACTATATTATGCCCATATAATATATTATCCTTAAATCTATATCCATATAATTTTATTTTATTGGTTTTATTTTTTTAAAATAAAAAATATATCTTGAAATATCCTTACAGAACCTGGTGCCGCCCGACCACCTGCTGCTGGCGTCGGCCAAGCGCGTGAAGGCGCTCATCCTGGAGGAGATCGCGCTCGACACCCCCGCCGGGCAGGAGATGAGGGGTACTCACTTACACGTTCAGCTTTTACACTTTTATTTCACAGGGAATACGACACGACAACCTTTATATCAGTGCCACTTCGCATCTATTATATTAAAATACACACCACGTGTGCGATCACTATGAAACAAATATAGTTAGGAATATATATAAAATGTCACATTTCCGAAATATTAGAATTAATAATATCGCCTTTTGAAAACAATGATTGGGATGGATATAAAAAAAAAATAATTAATTAAATGTCAATATGTTATCTGTACCTACGTGTTTCCTCGTACGCCGCTACTTGAATAAAAAATTAAAACGGTAGCCGGTGGCTAATGCCAGCTTCCATAGAAAAATGTTCGAAACCCTCTGTAGTTACTTTTCATCGGAGAGCATGTAGTTACGATACCGTACCTAACCAATCGACTGTTCAATGTGTCCTAAATGTAATTATAATATTTATAACCACAAATGACGTTACATTATAGATATATTATTTGAACTCTCCAATCCCCGGTTCTATCTCACACATGTCCGATTTTTTACTAATTGTAAGATTATGTCAGAATGAGTTGCTAATAATACTTTCCATTACATTCCAGAACCAAGTCTGTTAGAAGAATCCGAATCGCTACACAAGGCGGCCCTCGATTTGAGCATGATGGCCTTCGGGGAGAAGAACGTACAGACAGCGAAGCATTACGGCAACCTGGGGAGGCTCTATCAGAGCATGCAGAAGTTTCAGGTGAAGATACTTTTGTATTGTTAACGTCCCACTACTGGGGGCGGGCCCCCTTTCAATATACGAGAGGGATCAGGCCGTAGTCCACCACGCCGGCCAAGTCCGGGAGGACTAAGCATGCCTTTTGAACACTTGCTAGATTTTCTCAGAGATGTAGGTTTCCCACGATGTTTTTCTTCACCGTTAAGACAAGTAGTAACCATGTTCGAAATTTTTCATACATGAAAATATCTGAGGTGCGAGACCCGGAATATGAATCCAATTCATTCGATTTATCGCTAGGGTACCACTGCCTAAGAAACTTTTTTCTTTTATTTACATCATAATATATAACGAAATTTTAAATTAATATTCACTACATAGTATAAAACAAAGTCGCTTCTTAGATCTTTAAAACTACTTTTAAAGATCTAAGCTTTTTAATAGATTCAAGAGGAAGGTTTATATGTATAATACATGCATATTATAGTACAGAAAAGCCGAGAAATTCAGAGATTTGTATTTCATGAAATGAAAATGAAAATAGCCTTTATTCTCTGACCAGTAAAAATTTCCTTATGACTAATAAAATTACTATATTTTATCGATGGTCAGGTCGTCTTTCGACGTAGGCCTCCTCTAGCTCACCCCCTTAACACGATCTTGGGAATACCTTATCAACCCCTGTGGAAGGTCGTCTTCCCATCTCATCACCTGTCTTCCTCTGCGCCTCTTTTCGTTCCTTGGATACCACACCGTTATTTCTTTAGTCCATTTGTCTTTCTGGGATCTCATCATGTGTCCTGTCCAGCGCCACTTTAGTCTTTTTATTCTAGTGGTAACATCTGTTACTTTTGTTTTTGCTCTGATTTTTGAGAGCCTCCATTTGTCCTGTAGCTTTATGTTAAGCATACTCCTCTCCATCCTCTGTTGACATACTTTAAGCCTTTGGCTGTTAAGTTTAGTCATTGCCCATATTTGGCATCCATATGTTAACACCGCTAAGATACACGCATTGAAAATTTTTCGTTTTCCTGAAATTGGTATGGATGGGCTCTTCAGTCTTTCTTTTAAAGACCAAAATCGTGACCAGCTGTTGGATATTCTTCGGTTCAGTTCTTTGGACATTTGTTGTTTTGGTGCTATTAATTGTCCTAAGTATACGTATTCTTCTACATACTCTATTTTTAAGCTGTCTATATATATATTTTCTTTATTTCCATTCGTCATTTACTTTGTTTTTGACAGGTTCATTGAAAGTCCAACTTTTTCGCTTTCATCTTTTAGTTGTTCTATCATATCCTGAAGTGTTTTAGAATCTTCCGCAAAAAGTACGAGGTCGTCAGCAAATCTTAGGTGGGTGAGTTTACTTCCATTTATATTAACGCCATAATTGCTCCAGTCTAAGTTCCTGAAAATACTTTCCAGCACAGCAGAGAAAAGCTCGGGTGAAAGTGGATCTCCCTGTCTGACCCCTCTTTGGATTTTGAATTCCTCTCCCACTTTTTCTAGGTGATTTTTTGCTGTACTATTACTGTATATGTATTTCTTTTATAATCCTTAAGTATTTCTTGTCTACTCCTTGTTCTATGAGTGATTTATATATAGCTTTGTGTAATATTGAATCAAAAGCCTTCCTATAATCTATAAATCCGATGTAATAATATTTTCCATATTCATTATATTTCTCTATGAATTGGTTAACTACGTGCATATGGTCGATTGTAGAAAAATCACTCCGGAATCCCGCTTGTTCCCTTGGTTGTTGTTCGTCGAGACATCTTGTAATACGACCCAGTAAAACTTTCGAAAAAACTTTATACATGTTGGACATTAGACTTATTGGCCTGTAATTTTCCATATTGTGTTTATCACCTTTTTTATGCAGTAGAATAATAGTCGAAGTGGTCCATTGGTTTGGTATTATCTCTTCACATAATATCTTGTTAAAAAGTTTAGTTAGTGGTGGGAGCAGTGCTTCTATTAAGCCTTTCAGTAACTCATTAGTTATTTTATCATCACCTGGTGATTTTTCATATTTTTGGGACATGATTGCTTTCCTTATTTCGCTGCTTAAAATCGCTGGTACTTCTTCTTTTCCACTGTCTTTTTTAATGTTGAACTCCTTGTCTGATCCGAGGTCGTTGTATAAATTTCGATAATAGTCTGTGGCAGTTATGACAATTTGTTTTCTGTGGGATGTTATGATTTCCTTTCCATTTATGTCTTTTCCTTTAATTTTTGCTACCAATGTTTTATAATCCTGAAGCTGTTTCAGAGCTTTTTTAATTCCGCCGGTTCTTTCTACTTCTAAATTAATCCTGTGGAGCTTTTTCTCTTTTTTGTGATTTCTTATGTTTACTACAATTTTTTTACTAATTTCTTCTATTTCCTTTCTTTTATTTTTGCGGTCGTTAAACATATTTTTTCTTTGTTCTATTAGTTCCTTTGCTTTTGTTCCAAGTTTATCTTCTTCCTGGTTTTGTCTTTTAAGCTTTGAGAATGATTTTATCAGTGCTCTTTCGAATTTATTATAGTTTTCTTGTACTGAACATTCGCTATCTATTTTTGCTATATTTTCTTTAAATTCTTTTTTTATACTGTTTGGAAGTGGTAGCTGTGTGTAAGTAAAATTATTTTGAATTTTTCTTCTTGACTTTTTTATATCAGCTTTAACTGCTTCTCTTACCATCCTATGATTTGTGTTGCAATTTAAATTGTTTACAACAGTTATATTCATAAAGTACGATGGTTTATTGCTTAATATAAAATCTATTTCATTTTTATATGTTCCGTCAGGAGATATCCAAGTCCATTTTCGTGTATTCTTCTTTTTATAAAATGTGTTTAAAACTTTCGTGTTATTCTGCATTGCAAAGTCTACTAATCTTTGACCATTATCATTTCTTTTCCCATTGCTATGTTTACCTATTACTAACTTTTCGCAGTCTTGTGTTTCACCAATCTGGCTGTTAAAGTCTCCGAGAATTATTATATTTTTAAGTGTTGATTCTAATACTTCGTTCTAAGATATGTAGAATCGATCCTTTTCTTCCTTGCTTGCTTGTTCCGTGGGTGCATATACCTGAATAATTGACCAGGAATGTGCGTGCCCGGGTAATCTTATGTTAAGAACCGCGATTCTGTCAGACTTACTTGAAAATTGTTCAATGTTCTCTTTAAGATATTTCTTTACGATGAAACCGACTCCATACATTCCTTGCTTTTCTCCTCTATAATGTAAAATAAAGTCATTGTATTCTTTTATCTCTTCTCCTAACCTCCTTATCTCACTGAGTCCAATAATGTCCCATTTTATATTTTTTAGTGCGTGTTCTAGTTCCGTTAATCTTTCTTCAGTTCTTAAAGTTCTAGTGTTTAAGGTAGCGATGTATATGATATTTTTTTGTTTTGTTTCTATTTCGTTCTGGATGTGATTTTCTACTTTTATATGTTCTTTCTCTTTATTATTGTCTATATTGGGGTGTTTGGCTTGGGGATTAAAATATTGTTATTTGTACTTTTAATGCTAATTCTATTTGTACTATTTCCATTCCCAGTTGCTAATTGCTATTGTTTGCTAATTGACGAGAGAGATTATTAAATAAAACTATCTTTTCGGATTATTTCGCGGATTTATTTTGATTTTTGGTTCCCGAGGTTTAGAATGCTTTACAGCATCCATAGTCACGGGAGAGACTGAGGTGTTACATGTCTTAAAGATATAGTTGTTACAGACAGCCTACCCACAATTAACAAAATGAAAATTGCACCAATTACATTACAATATTTTTAACTTTAAACATTTTTATAATTTTAATTATAATTGAATATGGAAAATTATTTATTTAATTTTTGCTATTATTTTTATAATTATTACAATTTTAAAAATATTAATTAGTAATCTATATTTAGTGTTGCCATTATTATATTTATAACCATAAATAAAAATATAAAAATATAGTATTAATTATTAAAGCCATATAATTGTTCTATGTGTAATTTAAAAAGTTAAAATTAATTACGGATAATCATTTTAATTTAGTTTGCTATTATTTAAAAACAACTTACTAAGCAACACTATTAATATATACTTTTACAAATGAAAAATATTAATCTGATAAGCTGTCATTTTGATCTACACAGTATGAACTTACTACATCTGCCTGTCTGTTATGTTTATATTTATTATTTGATTTTATTATATTAATAACAGGATCCCATGACGATGGTAGTACCCAGCCATCTTCCCTATTGAAATTTGGATGTTTTTTAATTTCTATGGCTTCTCGAATCATTCTAGGCCGATATCGGTTTTCTTTCGCCAGGATTTGAGGTCTATCGAAACGAATATAATGGCTTGGGCGGTCCTGGCTATGTTTGCAGACAGAAGATGTTGTATTGCGACGGTGCTTCACATCAGCTATGTGTTCTTTGACCCGGGTTCTAATGGATCGCTTTGTTTGTCCAATGTAAGAGAGCCCACAATCACAATCAAGCTTGTAGACTCCTGCATCTTGTAGAGGGATGTGGCACTTGACAGGTGGTAAGAACTGACTATATTTCTTTGGCAGCTTGAAGTAAGTTTTAATTGAAGCTCGCTTTAGAATGTAGCCAATCTTGTCAGTGACTCCTTTCATGTATGGCAAGACTGCAGGAATGCGCTCGACTGTGGCTGGTTTCACTCGGTCACTGTGACGCGGGCACGGCACTTGCAGCTTGTTGTCACGCAGAACTTGCTTGACATGTTGCAGTTCTCCGGCCAGGTGTTGCTCGTCACAGATCCCGCGCGCTCTCTGAAACAGAGATTTTCCCACGGTAGCTAACTGTGAAGGATGGTGGTGAGATTCACCGTTCAGATACCTATCAGTATGGGTCTTCTTTCTATACACAGTATGACTCAAGGTGTTATCTGGGTTACGTTTAACTAATACATCTAGGAAAGCTAAGGTTTTGTCCGATTCTAATTCCATTGTAAATTGTATTTTAGGATTTATAGAATTAAGGTGTTCTAAGAATACAGTTATTTTATCAGATGGTAATATTGTAAAAGTGTCATCTACATACCGCTTGTAGAAACGAGGGGTCACGGGTGATGTGTTCAGAGCAGTCTCCTCGAAGTCCTCCATGAAGATGTCGGCTACGACGGGGGAGACTGGCGAACCCATGGCCACTCCATCCACTTGCCTGTAGAATTCACCATTCCACAGTAGATAGCCGGATGTTAGGCAGTGTTTTAAAAGTTCAATGTATTCTATTGACATGTTGTGATCTAGTAGCTTCCTAGATATTATTTCAATACAGTCTTCCACTGGTAGGCTGGTAAATAAAGACTGTACATCGAAACTAACCATTGTTTCATTGTCCATGAGTTTTAGGTGTTTAACTTCATTGACAAAATGGTAAGAGTCTTTTGTGAACGCTCTTGTTAATCCTCTGAGTGGTGAGAGTACTTTTGCTACTAGTTAACCCAATTTGTAAGTCGGTGAGTCGATTTGACTCACAATTGGACGTAGCGGAGCGTTAGTCTGGTGTATTTTCGGAAGTCCATACAACTTAGGTGGTTTTGCACTTGATGGAATAAGATTTTTAAGATCAAGATTTAATGTGTCGGAGTGTTCCTTAATTAGCTTTTTAGTATTATTTAAAACGGTGGTAGTTGGATCCGTTTTAACCTTTTTGTCGTGCTCTCGTCCGACAAAATTTGTTTTATTTTATCATTATAATCTGATGTATCCATCACAACGGTTGCATTTACTTTGTCTACGCGTAGAACGGTGATGTCTGCGTATTGCGTAGGTTCTTCAACGCTAAATACTCTTGTTTATTGAGATTTGGTTTGGGCCTAGTACTACGACGTAATAAAGACGAAACATCTTGACGTATGGCCTCCATATCCTCAGTTTTCATAATATTTTGGGCCAGGGCATCTTCAACTGCGCAAATATAAATCTAAGAAAGTATTATGACGAGAGAGAGTTGGATCTTGATCTCATTATAACAAAAGCATTTGCTCTGTTAACTTTGTTCGTAGGCTTTGGAGTATGTTTCTTGGAAAACGTTTCTTGAGGGCTGCTAGTTGGCGATCTCTTTCTTTTCTCGGTTAGCTTATTTTCCTTTATTATCAACTTATCGTATTTTATAAAAGCAAAATTCCCTTTACTTCTCTCTTCCTTTAATCTCTCTTGTAATGAGCGTCGTATTTCAAGAATGTGCTTGGGAAGTCTTCGGTGATGTAGAGGTTTTGGGATTTCTTTTTGTTCTTTAATATTTCGGTTCTTTTCCAAGTAGTAGAAAGTGTAATAGTTATAGGTCTTGTTTTTCCTTTTTCTGGTTTTTGTCCAACTCGTTGTGCGTTACATATTTCCTTTGCGTCAATCTCTACACCCATGTTTTTTATTTCCGCTACAAGTAATTCTATCAGTTCTTTGTTTGATCTTTCCTTTTCTTCAAAGTCAAAAATCATAAGATTATTTCGTTTTTTTTCTCTTTCTAATATATCTACTTTCCTCTCCAAGAATTCTACTTTTTGTTTTAACTTGCAATTTTCTTGAATCAGCGGTTGCATTTTCTCCTCCATCTTTGTCATAAGATTTTCCGTAATCTCTTTTGTCTGTAATTGCATTTCCAGTTTGATTTTTTCAAAAAGTTTTTCAAAATTTTTGTCCATTTTTATTTTCCACTTTGAGAATATCAATTTTTTTTATTATTTACTCTAATATATATTATCACTATAACAAGTCGGTGTCTGTTTACGATAGTGTGAGTAAGTCTTTATTTTATTTTTATATGCTGGCAACACTAAATCGGATGTCAATCAATCTTAACTCGTCTGTGGTATTAGTTGTCACTTGACATATTTGATGAATGATGACAGATGATTATAATACGGATAGGAAACAAAACGTTTAAACCACCAACTACTATTCTTCTTGATTATAGTGATTTTGCAATACTTTATGCTTGTTTTTTCCGCACAATATGCACAGGGTAATCAATTAATTGTTTTGAAATGTAAGTTGATATCAGTTTATCACTTTTCACTATTTATTTTTATTTTATATACGGAGACACTTAACAAAGATGTTGACACTTTCGTAACCGGAAACGGAAACTTTGTATTTCATACTAACCGTTAAAACATAAAATGTGTGTAATATAACTGATCTCCTCAGGATGCGGAGACGATGCACCTGAAGGCGATAGCGATCAAGGAGGAGCTGTTGGGGCCCGAGGACTACGAGGTGGGGCTCAGCGTGGGGCACCTCGCCTCCCTCTACAACTACCACATGAACATGCACCGCGCCGCTGAGAAACTGTATCTCAGATCTATATCCATCAGTGAGTTGCTTTGTTTATATCTTTTTGATTCGTTTCAAACGAAAAACGTCCACTGCTGGACATAATAGTAATAGTAATAAATAATAGACTTAATTCTTTCTTAGATTTATGCGAATATTTGACATATTAAATAAAACTTATCTTATCGGATTTTATCGCGGCTTTATTTTGATTGCTTGGTTCCCGACATTTCGAATGTTTACAGCAATCACTTTTATTCAGACCTTAACATGCAGTATCTTATGAACTATTTATATCACATTTACTACATTTATCTATATAATTAATGCTATAATATTTCCTTATGCTATTTTGATCAAGTATTCGGTAAGCTTTATGGGAGGCCCACGCTTCGCTTTCCGGTATGTGGCTGCCGGTGAAGAACTCTTCGTCCCTAACGACCATGCGTTATTGTATTGTAGCTTTTTATGTAGCTATATATAAAATAGTTTGCTAATATATACCACGTGCAGGGGCAGACGCGAGTGAAGCGCACCCGCTTGGCATATAAATTTTTATTCGATACTCGGAAAATGATTTTAGGGTTTATGGGTTATTTACTGTGTCATTAGATGGCGTTACAGCGTTTTCATTTCGAAAACGTTTGCCGTTAAAGTTGGTATATTTTTGACAACCCTTGTATTTTTATAGTATTTCCTTACTTTAAATTTTTCTACTATGGCTTTAATATAATAAAATAATAGGATACCATAATGATGGTTTAATAAGAAGGCAGAATTAAAAAATAAAATATTTTTATTAACTTCATTAGTTAACTATTATCTAATTAGTAATAATTAGTAAATAGTGCGGCTCGAAAGACCAAAACCTATTCCTATAATATAAGAAATATAATGAACATTTATCATAACGCAGGTCTGAAGCTGTTCGGTGAGCGCTACTCGGGGCTGGAGTACGACTACCGCGGGCTGGTGCACGTGTTCACGCAGCTCAAGCGCCACGACCGCGCGCGCCACTACAACGCGCTGCTGCAGCATTGGCATGGTACTGAACCCCCTCCCCCACACCCGCGTGCACACGTAACCGTCTACACACTATCTAAACCTATACAGACAGATTTACACGTATACATACAAAGTTACACATATGCACACACTTACACATATACAGCCATGGACATGCATACATACGTATGTATATTATTTCCCTAAGACCTAATATTCGAGTAGTAACACAGAATAATCAGAAAAATAATGTATAAATTTTGTTTTAATTTACTCGCTCATTACTATTTTCTTATTAAAAAATGTTTAGGCAGAACATAATTGTGTGATAATATTTATGTGTTTATTATTTAGATTATATTTAGTGAAATAACCGATTCTTTATACCGGCAATAAACTTGTACGTAAAAGCGTCTTGTACTATCGTCTTTCAAATACCAATCAAATATTATTTCTAATGAGGAAAATCTAAAATTAATTAATATGATATTACAGATCTCAGAGAGCAATCTAAAGCGGAACAACAGCCCGCCATCGGCGACGAGAAGGTGATCCCGCTCGACCAACTGCAGTCCAAGTTCTTCAACTCGCAGGAGTCCGCCGAAGCCCACTGACTGAGCCCGAGCATCCCCGGGATTCCAATCTCGACTCCATCCCGCGGGAATCGTCTCCTGACACATTCCGATGTGATCCCGCGGGATACAGCTTCATAGGCAATCCCGCGATGTTAAACTCCCGGGATTTCATCCAAAGATCTTTCGAAAGAAGTGACAGTGAAAGTGTATAAAATTGTTTTGGACGTCCACACATATCTAGAGACGGGGACTATTTAGTAGCGGAAATGTAAACTATATACGTGTATAATATAATACAGGCTGTGCGTGACATGAGACGTGACAACTTGTGAGATTCGGACATTTGGATGTTTAGAATGTTAAGTTTTGTTGATAGTGTTCCATAATTGACAAACAAATAATCATTTTAATCTTCTATTTTAGTAGCTTAGACAAATAAATACAAAATATTTTAGTTGGTATATTCAAAAACAGGTGCTATATTCAAAGTGAAGTCATAGAGTACATGTTCAGTCTAAACTCTAAAGTAAAATATTTAATTTTGTTTATTTATTAATTAATATGATGTAAAAATGCTCTTATTAAACTGATTGTTGGCTAGAAAATTGTATTTATTAATATATCTAGTTTGAAAGGCAAAATGTTGTCACGTCTATGGGTTCGGTGCTCTTAAGCGCACAGAGTCTGGCCGACTGTACTACTGCCATTAGCTTCGCGCTCGCTTGCGATTCACTGTATAGATATAATGTAGATAAATATGTATATTTTATATTATATAAGCCGTATTACTGCAAAATAGCAGTGTATTATTGTTTTTATTTTGTGAGCCAGCTTTCATAGTTTTATTTTTTTTTATATTTAAGGAACAGGTAAGACATGAAGGTCCTATATAAATTGCAATAAAAAAATCTTACCCTCAAAAGTAGGTGATGGTGTAATCTTTCCAAAAATATCTATTTAAATAATATTATATCAATGTTAAGAAATGAAAATATTGTTAAGGAGTGCTATGAATTATATATCATTGAAAGACCTATTGTAAATAACTATATTTGCTTTAGTAGAAATCAAGATATGATATTTGTAATTTAAATAATTTTGAACACAATATAAAACAAAAAAATGCATTGAAAAAGTACCATATATTTACTATTTATTTCATCCAAAATGCCATCAGATGCTCACATATTTTTGATATGCATCATTACTTCGTTTTTGTATGAAATTGTAAGGGAGTGCGAAGCTCACACCAAAATAAATATAGATAATCATTAGAGCTTTTCCATGTTCGTAAAAGGTAATTTTTATACATTATAAATTTAGACGTTAACTCAGATAGTGGTAAGGTATACAACACATGTGCCCGTTATATATTAATTTATATTTAATTCATAATTATACATATCTTTATACTAATTCATACTCGGAACCAGCAGATGTTTGACGAGTCGTCGTCTCATTGTCCAAACAAATAATTCAATAAAAGAGTTTTACTACGGAATTATTGACTTTAAATGACAATTCTATTGTTATTAAATACACATTTTACATTAAAAATGTTGAAAAAAAGTATTTTATCTAAATATAAATGTTAGATATAAAGTTTTATTTTTAAAATAGAATAGAAACAGTCATCCTTTAACAAGTGTGTAGTTTGAACAAATAAACACTGAGGCGACGAGGCTTTAAACTTACATTCAACATGACTCGTCTGTTATTATAACATTATTGTGCAAGCTCAATCAGTCATGTTTAACATTAAAAAATGGACTTCGATTCTTCATTTTTGTCGATATCTCTCTCAGTTTCGTCTTTCTACATAAAATCCAATATTCTTCGAACTTGGCTGAACAAGTTTTATTCTAATTGAATTCTTAAAAACATTCACACCATCTATGAATCTAGTCTATCAATAAATATAAGGTTGCGTACACACTACCCGTCTGTGTGGTGTCTTAGAGCGCGGCGGCTCGTGTGCACGCGGCCTAGCTGAAATTAATGCTACTTAAATGTATAATGATAATGTATAAAGCACTTGGGCTGTTCTATTGAAGGAATTGTAAGGTCAATGTCCGGAGCGCGGCAGAGATTGTGCCTGAAACTGGAAATTAGCACAAATTGTTATTGTATCTAAGTATTTATAATGAGATTGTAAAATATTATACTATATTTGATAAATATTTAATGTATAGCTTTGTTTAGAGACGCGCCCGCGCCTTCGGTGTAGCAAGGCCTTGTCGATGATAAGTAACGGCAGGTTAAGGTTTATATGCAATACGAGTGTTTTTGAGTCATTTCTTTTTTTCTTTTTTTTATTTATGGCCCAAATTCTGGGGAAATTATCCGTTAGTAATATTTGAGAGCTTAATCTACGTTATAACTTTATTGATAAGGCCACAGCAATATAATTCGAATTTTATAATAGAGCTGTATATTATTTTACTCAATACAAATAAATATATAGATAATGGATGCCTTGAGCCTATGTTCCTCATTTTAAGTGATTTTTCTTTTAATATTAATAAATGAAATGTAAAAACGTAAGTCGTAGGTATACGTCTAATCGCTTTAAGATATTTACTTTACGTGCAATGACTTGGGACTTGTATATAGTAGTGTCGCCTCTACGAGTATTCTCTTTATAAAGCTCACATTATTTGGTACTTAAAGTTTTCAAAATAGTTCACTTCTAATACTAAATTCACTTACAGATTGTTACGAGATTAAAGTTTATCCCATTTTTTTTATTTAAATAGTATTGATTTATCAATCGTCAGATGAAAGTTGTACACTAGATAAAATATAACAAATTATAATTGGCAGTTGTAATTAGTTTTTTTTTTGAAGTATGCGTCATAACTAAATATTGTTTATTTCTGATTGTGATGTCAAGTTTTGTTGAAAAAATGTAAAAATGAAAAAGCTGTTAATTTATTTAAAACTATAACCGTATCTACTGGGTGTGACATGCTGCATTAAATTACTGAATAAAATCAAAATAATTGAAAATATTTATTTTAGAAGAAATTATTAATATCCGATTTGTTTATATATTCGCTTGTTGAACATGTAAAGATCATTGAACTGTATGACTATGTAAGTTTCCAATTAGATTTAGAAAAACATGGTCAGCAGCACAATGTGGATAAGTGCATTATTTATTTCTGTATCTAAAAGTATTTTTGTGACAGTTTACATTTAACATAGACGAGGTTTAGGCGATTTGTAATGCTCTAGAGTAGATCGTACGGCAGATAATTATGAATTGTCTAAGCGTAAGCACACATTTAATCGATGGCTGTTACGTGCGTCCGGCGCGCGAATAAATACGTTTTATGACGATCTTTGCCTTTTATTTAACTATCAACTACCTGCGGCACTGGCCGCGCTTGCGACCATTCACGCTTTGAACGAGCTCCATAGTGCTAAATAATGACGTGTAAATATCGAACAAATAAAATGAAAAATACAACTTATAATTTGTGTTTATTTTTCTTATTCGAATTCTTTGAGAACTACTTCTAAATCCTTTGAATACTTACATATCTTGCTTTTTAGCTCTTTTTGACATCTGTCCCTTATTATTAATATATTAATCTGAAAAATCTAAAATATAATGAATTAAATTGAAAATTATTTATATATAATTTATCGAAAACAATGTCTATTAAAACTTGTGCAGGCTGCTTTAATACTTTAAAAATTAAGAATAGTTTGAAGTGTTCAAAATGCCACAAAAATTACGATACACTATGTGCTAATACTAATGACGGTCATTCAAGAGCTATGAGTACTGAGCAGAAAAATGCTTGGAAATGTCCAGATTGCATGAATAAAATACCTAAAGGTAACAATACTAATACTCCTTTACGTCCGCCTCAATCGGCCATTACACTCTCCCACAATACGAGCTCTCCGTCTTGCACCAACGTAACACTGCGTAACAAACGCTGTACTAATAGTACTCAAGCTTTATAGAGTGACGAAAATATTTTTGAGATATTTAGAGCCAACTTAAAGGAATTAATCAGACATGAAATAAAAAATGCTGTTCATGAAGCCTTAGCTGATCAACTTAAAGGAATGAATGATTTATTATCTAGCTTTCAGCAATCTCTTTCATTTTTCAATGATCAATTCGAAACTATGAAGTCATCTTTATTAGAAAAATCTGTAAAAATACAAGAACTCGAAAAAGTAAATAGCAGTATGCAGACTTCAATTGAAGATCTAACAAAACGTTTAAATATTATGGAGCAAACCTCAAGATCCTGTAACATTGAATTGCACATGTACCTACCGGAAAACCCCTCTGAAAACTTAATTAGCTTAATATATTATTTTCTTAGAGAAGAAATATGAGACGTTACACCTAATGTTGGTTCCATTTGCAACTTATCTCTTAATACTGCAGAAGTATATAATGCATTAAGATCTCTAGATGAAAGAAAGGGCGCTGGTAGTGATGGAATTCCTCCGATTTTTATAAAAAGATGTGCAAAAGCCCTAGCTTCACCCGTAAATACGATTTTCAATCGCTCTCTAAGGGACGGGATCTTTCCGGAATTGTGGAAAGAAGCTTTGATAGTTCCGATTTATAAAAACGGCAGTAAAACCTTGTGTCTAATTACAGACCAATTTCTCTACTTCCAACACTGGGTAAAGTTCTCGAAAAAATGATAAATGAGCGATTATCTCGGGATCTTAAGCAACAAATTACTTGCCATCAGCATGGCTTCCTACAATCAAGATCAACAACTAGTAATCTGCTAAGCTTTACTTCCACGCTGTCTGAACACATTGACAATCGAGTTCCAGTCGACACAATCTATACAGACTTTAGTAAAGCATTTGACAAAGTAGATCACATAATTTTATTGGAAAATCTCTCACAATTCGGTATTAGTGGTACTCTGTTGTCTTGGTTTCAATCATACTTACAAAGTAGGTCCTTCAAAGTAGTTATTAGTGGTCACAGCTCGTATACCTGCTCGGCGCCATCCGGCGTACCGCAAGGTTCTCACCTTGGTCCATTACTCTTCAATGTTTTTATTAATGACATAACAAAGTGCTTTCATCACTCAAAATTCTACTTATTCGCAGATGACCTAAAAATAATAAAACCTATTAAAAATAACGATGATGTGACTAAACTACAAGAAGATGTTAACAGATTGACCAGCTGGTGCGTCGAAAATGATGTCACTCAACACGTCTAAATGCCATTACATTCAATTCACTCGCAATAAAATTACTAACCCAAACAAATACTATATCAACTCACATCAGATTTCCCAGGTAGATACTGTTAGGACCTTGGAATTACATGAGATGCTAATTTGCGATACAATACCCATATCTCAAATATTGTATCCAAGGGTTTTAAGATGTTGGGATTCGTACTAAGAAATAGTAAAGAGTTTAAGATGGCGTCCACTAAAATCAAATTATTTAATACACTCGTCCGTCCTATCTTGGAATACAATAGCATAATCTGGAACCCACATTATGACTTTTACACCAAAAGGTTAGAAAGTGTACAAAAACGTTTCCTCTATCATCTTTCTTACAGTGATACTACGGCTAAAAATCTCCCTAACTATCACAATAGGCTTAAATATTACAAGATGACTTCGCTCGTTTGTCGTAGAAAAATAACAGATATTATAACAATATATAAAATAACCCATTCGAAAATTGATTGTAGTGAATTACTAAAGCTTCTAAAATTTAACGTACCCTCTCGCTTGCCTCGGAAAAATACATATAGTTTGTTTTATACTCCATTGTGCAAAACGAATTTGAGATATCACGCCGCTATTCTAAGGATCTGTCGACAGTACAATACGCTTTTTAAACAACATGTTGAATTAGATATCTGTTTGAATTTAAAAGTAGTATTACTAAATTCTTATCGTAATTTTAGTAGAAATGTTTAAATGTGTTGTAATATGATTTGTTTCTTTTTTTTTTGTATCTCTATATATAGTTTCAGATTTGTTTCTAGACGTTAATTTTTTCTTAGTTTAAACTTAGTTATAACGTAAAATACATTAATGAGCAAGCTGTGGTCTCCTATAAGTAAAGAAGCACACGTATTGTGAGTCTTATTTGCTTTTTGTTTTTATATGATGTTGTATAATGTGTGTATCCTAATTAAAATAAAATAAAAAAGCTCATAAAATGTAAACAGCTCCGTCTGTGATTTTGCAACACCAGCTCGTTATCTAAAGGACTTGAAACAATGAAATTATGAAAATTGAATAGATAATATGCGTGTAATTTAAATAAAGGTGAAATTTGTTTTTTTATAATCTTTACTGCTTTTGAATTAAGCCTATATTAATATTTTTAATGTAATTTGTTAGGCAATTCAAAGTACTTCAAAAGCAACGCCATTAGTGAGACCGAATGTGACGTCAGTCTATCATAACAGATCGCTTTTGTTTGGTATTTGCGATTGGTACTAAAATCTATTCACTCGTTGATTCAATGTGTTATAGACAATGACGTCACGCCGAGCGCGCCAAAATGGTGGGCGTTTAAAGTATCCGTGTCTGTATATATTTTCAAATATATTTGTTTTACTAAATTTTAGTATTTTGGAGCTGGATATTTTTATTATAATTATATAACGATGGAAGCTATTATATAAAAATAAATGAAAAAATCACACATTCCTTTTTAACGAAAAACGAAGGTTTTATTGAAATATGCGTTCTTCATTTGACCTTTTTTTTCTAAGTTCAGTTTTACTTATATACATGTTTAATTTTCTTATCGCTATTTTAAGGTTTTCTAAATAATACTCATGTCTGTCATGAAATGAAAATTTATTTTATAAAAAAGAATAAATTAAAGCTTCAGTCACACTGGTGGTGGTAAAATGAGAAAAATATAATGGAATGCTTCCTCTAATAATTATAATTATCAATCAATAAACAAGAACAATAAAAATTTATATCTTGTAACAAATACAATATCCTTCCAAAAACAAATTTGCAAATAATACAATCATCAAGGCACTATTGTAAGGCTACTAGAAATACTAGAAAAATAACCTTTTGAGAAAGCTATTTGTACTTGTGCTTACATTAAGAACATTCCACTTTATTCAATATAATTTATATGAGAAAAAATACAATTTACATCGAGACACATTCCACTTAAAATTAAGAGCCCTATCTCTTCATGATCCTAAGGACTAAAGTCAAAGAAGAGTCTCCAGAGTCCTCTAAGCAGGCCCAATGAGCGCCACCAAGGCCCTCTTGTAGTCTCCGGAGGTCTCGCCCTGCTACAGCCGCAGATGTGAGCGACGCCATACAATTGGTACAGATTGATGGCAGCAGGCGACATGCGTAAAGAAAGGCGGCATCATTAGTATGCGTGGGGTTGTAGAGTTTGAAAAGTGTGTTATTTACTTGAGATTTTTAATAGGGAAGTACATGCTAAATATATATTATTCCGAATTACCGTCAATTCAGGTATTTGCTAGTTAGTGCAATAGTAGTTTTTTTTTTCTAAAAATAATGGGTTCGATATCCGACGAGGTAGAATAATGTTTCAAATTTGGAAATTAGATTTAATTTTAATCAAGACCATACAAGATTCCTTTGAGCATTTTTTTGTTGTGTATTTTTATTAATAAAATTGCATAGATTACAGAAGACTTAAGAGTTACACTTATAATAAAAGTAAGTAAGATCAACCCTCACCTCCTGCTCCAGCGCCACGAAAGCAGTGAAAAGATTGAAAATTAAAACACATTATGATACAAAATACAATGCATTCAAAGCAAATATCAAAATAAGATCAAATCTATTTTAGCAAATTTTGTAAAAAAATAGTTTATAATGTGCTTTAATTTATGGAATAGTGCAAATAATGCATTTGTGCTCTGATGTTGGTTGTACTTAATTGAATGAAAATTTTATTATTTAAATTTTATATTTTAAAGTTAGTTACTAATCTATTTTTTAATAAAAAATAATTTATTATATGTTAAAATTATGGTATAACTTAATCAAGTTCTGCCAACATTAAGATACAGCACAAGTGCGACAAACACAACGCAAATAAGCCGTAAAATGCGTAAATAATTGCAAATGCGTAAACAAACTAATCTATCAAGCGCATACTTATACATCCATATTCATATACGCTTGCAATAGATTTATCTATATTTTTTACTTTAATAAACAGATTTCGATAAAATTTGTTGTATTAATAACATAATTCTGAATTTCAGTAATAATAATAATTACAAATTAACTAATCCTTATAGTTTAAAATTACATTTCCTGTATAAAACATTACAGTTACACGATATGAATCTCTCACTCATAGTATAAGCTGCGTGTATACTCGTAATATTACTCACGAGAGAGAATAAAAAAATTCATCTACAAATATAACCAAAAGCCTGTCCAAGTGCGAACTACGAGTAAATCTCCCACTGACCGCCACATCGCTCTCCAGCGTCTTATCGTAGAGCCGCTCGTACTCCCGCTTGATGCTGCCGAGGTCTACCTCGGCGCGGGACGTGATCACGCGCAGCAGCTTCCCGTCGTCAGTGCCGGCGCCCTGCAGCGCCCCGCGGATGCGCGCCGCGAACCACGCCGGCGCATTTTCCACACATTCCACTAAAACAATAATTACCTGATCATATTTTACTCAGACGATCCCTTCCACTGGACCACGAGATGAATTTGGACACGCCGGAATTATGATGGCGGCTGAAAAATGACCTTAGAGACTTGCTTACCTTAATTCGTTGATGCTCCAGATCTTCTCGTATAAAACTTACCTTAGGTACATGATCTCTCAAACATGATATCACATTACAATTCACAAATGACCGTGCCGCGAGCAGACCGTCAACCCAAAACAATAGCACAGACAAAGCGTGAAGAACAGTCACTGACAACAAAGTGGTCTCTGTCTGTCGGTATCTGTATGCTTAAGATACGTTATGAGACTTTAAGGTTTCTGTTCTATACGCTCCGCCTGGTTCCCAAGTCCAGACCGCACATACCCTGACTTCGCTCTCCAGGGTCTTATCGTAGAGCCTCTCGTACTCCCTCTTGACGGCGGCGAGGTCGCGCTCGGCGCGCGTCACCACGATGCGTATGAGCGTGCGGTCGTCGGTGCCGAGCCCGCGCATGGCGGCGCGCAGGCGGCCCGCGAACCACGCTGCGGGGCTCTCTACGCACTCCACTGGAATTGTCCGTTTTAGTGGGACGATAGGGATGTTTAGGATGTATGTACTGGTGACCCGGAGATTCTGGGTTAGAGTCCCAGATCGGACCAAGTTTAAGTTTCTTCCATTGAAGTATAATGAGTGGGAAGAATAGAGTGCACTTGTGTCTGCACTATTATATCTCCTGCGCAGATGGCTAGTTCCGGCTAGATTAGCCGCCGTGGCCGAAATCGGTCAAGAGAAAATTGTTTAAATAAAAAAAAATAGAATAAATCTACACAAATAGCCATTAAATACAAACTGAATCTAATAAATAACTAACATAAAACAAAACAGACAATAAAAATTCATATCAACATTTTACTTTTACCTAAAATTTCTTCAAAATACCAGTTCAATTCTATTAGGATTAATTCAAAGCTTTTAAACTTCCCTAAATGACTAAGAACAGTCTACACCATCCTATATTCAAAAACCGTCAACGCAGAAAATGCGACGCGTGGGTCAATTGATCGCTTCCTCTGGTCTAACAAAGAGCCGCATCACGACACAATTGCCTGTACTATTTCTTATATTAGCCATTGCATGTTGCAGACATATTATGTACATTAGTCATATATAATACTTTCTTAGATTTACGCGAATATTTGACATTTTAAATAAAACTATCTTTACGGATTTTTTCGCGGATTTATTTGGATTTTTGGTTCCCGACGTTGGTAATCGGTGCAATTTTCATTTTGTTATTTGTGGGTAGGCTGTCTGTAACAACTATACCTTCGAGGGATCTAACACCTCAGTCTCTCCCGTGACCATGATTTCTGTAAAGCATTCGAAACGTCGGGAACCAAAAATCCAAATAAATCCGCGAAAAAACCCGAAAATATAGTTTTATTTAAAATTAGTCATATATCTTTGACCGCAGTATGAATATGTTAATGGATATCCATTAATAATGTTTGACGACATGTTTGGCTCAGTTTGTAATGACCCTACTTGCTGTGCCAGCGGTCGCGGGTTCGAGTCCCGCTAGGGACATTCATTCAGCACGAATGTTTATACTCCAGTTATGGATGTTTATATTTATAGGTAATATGTATGTATTTAAAGTTATATATGTATCTATGTGTAGTGTATCAACTATCTGGTATCCATAAGACAAGCCTCGTAACTTACCGTGGAACTAGATGGTGCTGTGTTAATGCCTCAACATATAAAAAAAAATATAACAAATAATTATTTTTTTAAGTTCTTTAATATATCGAGACTTACAAATTCGTGTTTTGTCTGTCCGTTGAATTGTTAGTGCATCTTGTTTGTTACTAAACTATTACACGACTAGAGTAATCCAAAACATCACTATTGACTCCGGACTCCACGCCATAAAATGTTCACTTAGGTCACCTTCATTCCAAGTGGCATAGGCAACTTAATATTTACTCTCTAATAAAACAGCCATTAACAAAGACGTACATTAAAAATCTATTTCAAACCAATGCTATCTATCGCATTTAAATTGAACTGATCGCCTATAAACCCTTCAAAAGAAGTCATTAAGTTTGATATACTACTGACCAATAGCAGAGAGTGCATCCTTCAGCTCTCCGCCGATCTCCGCCTTGATGGCCTGCTCGATGGTGCGCCCCGACAGTTGCTTGTAGTGCTCGAAGATCAAGCGAAGCTGGGCGAAGCTCTCGTGCGCCAGGATCTGGGGTCGATCATGGCTATCTTTTATTCAGCCCTTATTATATAGTCAGTGTGAGGCCATAGTCCACCGCGCTGGCCAAGTGCGGGTTCGTGGACTCCATATATCTTTCGGAAACTTGCTAAGTTCTCTCAGACATGAAGGTTTCCTCACGATGTTTCCCTTCACCGTAAGGCACGTGATTATCATGTGAGAACTGATTCGCATATGAAAATATCAGAGGTGAGAGACCCGGGATTTGAACTCGGTTCACTCGGCTTCCCACTGGGCTACCACTGCCTGCACATGGGTATCTTACATTATGGTATTTGGAGGGATAAATTATTTTCAACACTAATTAAATATGTACGATTTTATGATATAAAATAAAAATGTTCCATGCTCAGCACTATGAGGTAATCATGGCTTTTAAACAAGTAACTTTGACCTTTGTAAAATGTCGTGCCGGGTTGGAGTGCTATACCTATATATTAACTTTTTATATTATAGTCGGGAGATGTAATTTTCCACGAGATTTAACTTCAAACCTTTAATGATGAAAATTGGTATTTATTAGCAACGTTTACACTTGACGAGATTTTTCTTAAGATCAAAGACTATCACTTACTTTACCTATGGGTATATACTGCTATGGTCTTAATTACAACCTACCTTGTTAAATATCTCCTCATCGGTCCCCCACTTGGCCTCCCCCGCGTCGTACAGCTGCTGCGCGCAGGCGGCGGCGCGCGCGGCATCCACGCCCGCCTCTTCGTCGCGCGCGCCCTGGTGGCACGACTAGTACACACGTGTGCCTGCTCTTATTGTTAGTACCTCGGATGAACGCCTTTTGGGCGTTGGATTTAAAGTAATTCGGATTTTAGGTTACGGGAAACTTTGAATGTTTTATTTTTAATTTTGAAATTATATTTCATTATCGTCATCTGTCTGTTTATGTTATTATTATCAGTGTACAGGTTTTTGGGCATGTTGTATTTTGAATTTTAAGTTACTTCGTGGTGGTTTAAGTGGGATTGAATTTACCTTTTAAGAATTTAGTGTCTTTGTTTATATTATCAGCAATCAATAGGTATAACAGGTTTTTTTAATTTTAAAATTATAATGCTAACTTTAGTGTCACAGTAAAATGACAGTTCAGAGTCAGGAGATAGCTACGTTACAGACTTACATAATGGCATTTAATAAAATAAAAAAATAATAAAAAATTGACTCTCAAATGTTTTCAAAAACCTATTTGAATAAGATATAACTCGATTTAGTATAATAAAAAATGTAGTAAAGCATTACAAAATTTTTAGAGTAGGTAATAACTAAAATATTAAATAAAAATAGTCATGTTATAGAGTGTTATAAATAAGGTACTTTCTAACGTCGGTAATAAAAAAAACAAAGATGTAACAGAAAGTGGGTCCATAGACGTTCATCCGGGGCAAAGGTCGTGTGCTCAAGCGAAAGTAAAGTTTGTGACAAGCTTTGTTCGTGTCTGTATGGTTATTATTATAAGCAATAATAATTTTTCTATAAATATTCAATAATATATATTTATTATTTATCTTTTTTTAGTTCTATCTAAACTAATATAAATATAAAGATTTTATTTTTTTCATTGATTCTTTATGATTTTGTTTCTTACTGTTCCAATATAGAGACTTGTATACTTTTATTTTCAAGTCCTACCTACACCGACGTGATTATCATAGATAATCACGTCGGTGTAGGTAGGATTAGTATAGACTAATATTATAAAGAGGTAAAGTTTGTGAGTTTGTGGCGTTATAGGGGGTAATCTCTAGAATAAACTACTATATATTAAATCGATTTAGATGAAATTTGGTGAGAAGATAGTTTGAGACCCTGAGAAGGACATAGGATACTTTCTATCCCGGAAATCATCCCTTAAGGGTGTGAAAATGGGGATGAAAGTTTGTATGGGGAATCAAGCTAGGGACGAACCCGAGCTAAGCGAGGTTGATTCGTTAGTGTCTTATGAATAAATAAAATTAAATTATAATAATGCAAAGTAAACAAACTCAAAAAGTAATAAAAGCTTTGTTAGCAAAGAAAATCAACGCAAAAGCTACATACATATGTAGGTACTTTAACCGTGTTAATACGTTAGTCACACACGTGAACTAGATTACATCAGTCCACGTGTTTTAAAAATGCAGTCATCTATACATATACTAGCGGACCCGACAGACGTTGTCCTGTCTACACGTCTTTAATTTGAAAATTTCAAACTTTTTTTAATAATTTTTTTGATGAAAATTATTATTCAAATTGTGAATCTAAACCATTCCCAGATCCCCTTGAACACACACAAAAAAAATCATCAAAATTGGTCCAGTCGTTTGAGAGAAGTTCAGTGACATACACACTCACAGAAGAATTATATATATAAAGATAATAAAATTCTAAATGAATCGAATCTGAACATTCAATATTTTTTGGAAAATCTTATTGAAATAGTCATTATTATCGATACAGAGGCCGAATCTATAGTTTGTCTGTCTGTCTGGGAACGCATCACGAGAAACTACTGGACAGATTTTGATGAAATTTGATATGATGATAGCTGGTTATCCGGGTTAACGTATAGGATACTTTTTAGTGCTGAAGTCGGTGAAAAATAAACGTACATTACTTTTAATACTTTCTTAGATTTACTGAAATATTTGACACTTTAAATAAAACTAGAGATAGACTCTCCCGTGACCATGATTGCTGTAACGCATTCGAAACTTCGGGAACCAAAAATCAAAATAAATCCGCGAAAAAATCTTTTCGGATTTTTTCATTTTATGACATTACTTATAGTAAAAAAAAAAAAAATCTTTTAATGCTCAATACAAACATAAGTACACGTAGCGTGTTAAATTACAACTTACTGTGACGATAAGAGTGAGAAGACGGCGGAAGTCGCCGGTAGTCTCCGAGCACATGTGCTCTGCGAGGGGACGGTTATATACTGTGGAGGAGAAAGTTATATTCAAAGGATAGAATAAGGATATCCATAAGGAACACATAGACTTTTATATATAGGCAAGGTTTGAAAACACAAATGGACCCAATAGGTGGCGCTGCAGTCGGTGTGCCACTGATCATCTCCTAAACAGCAGGGACGATAAATTTAAATTGTTAATAAAATAAAAATCGATGTGTGTATGTAAGTTTCCTATGGATTCCAAAACGGCTGGAGCAATTTTGATAAAATATTCGGGCAATCTGCAGATTAGCCCAGCGGGGTGATTCTGTGTAGTTTGGTAACAAATGGAAGTTTAAACACGAGCGAAGCCGCGGGTACTGCTAGTTAATAGTAATATACCAAAAATTATCTATAGAAAGGTGAACCAATATTACGAGCCAAGCTTGGCCCAGAAAATTATATAGGTACCTTTCATACATTTAATGTATTTGTGAAATTTCAAATTATATTCTTCCCTTCTAGGATAATTTATTAGCTTTTACTAAAGATAGTTATAGTTATATATAGACCAACATTATTCATTCACATTAATAAATAATTTAAAACCTATTTAAAGAAAAAGATATATTTATTAAAAATATTTGATTTGTTTTTATTAAATTAACTAGTACTGGTGGATGAATGGTGGCAACTGAGATATAGTAGCATACAGCGAAAAGGAGTAAATTTTAAAAAACGTTATCACCATCGAAATTTTGTTGACAAACATTGGAATTGAACATTAGAATTGAAAACAATGGAGGTGTTGCCTGATTTCCAACTAGCAAATAATTAAGATGGAGTACTCACATCTCTCGTACGTTTCCACAATCTCGGCTATCTCCGGCTTGGTACGAGTGCACAGGATCTCCACGAGTACATCCTCATCTGTCCCCATCCCCTCCATGCAGTTGTTTAGTTCCTTACAGAGGTACTCTGCTGGGGGCATCATGAGAGCCACTATCACGTCTTCAAAATGACCCCCGAGCTCGGACTTTAGGTCTTCGATTAAGTCCTGTTTATTTATTTTTTGCTCTATATATATTGTTACATCTATTAGTTGTGTTTACAGGTAACATTGTATTATTATAATGTGGACTGCCTCAATTGTTTATAATCTAGCATGTAAGTACTGATCGTGAGTTCTTTGAGGCCCAGGTCAGACAAAAATGGTTATTGGGTTTATCTGCAAAACTCAGTAGCAACCTGGAGTTAAGAATTCGGCGATGTGTACAGCATGTGTCTCAGGGGTTAACCTATCGGTTCTGCACACTCTCTCTCTCTCTCGAGCCAAGTACTTATTCCATCAGCATGTGAAAGTTAAAGAAATTGAGAGTGCACACACTGCACTAAAATATAGGAGAGAGATAGATATGGGTTGGAGTAATTAATCTATCTACTTTTTATCCCACTATGTAATATACATAATTCGCGTGAGAAGTATGCTAAGTTCCCACTTTAAAAATAGTTCTAATACCGTTGTTTCTCAGTGTCATATACATATAACTAGTGCTAGATTGTGAATTCAATTCTCGCTCAAATTAATACCTCGTTGAATTAGTTATTCTAATAAGTAAATAGGACTTTGAAAATAAATCATCACGTTGCAGAGGAACTGTACCCTTTTAAAGCCAGTGGCAAAACCTGCCCTATCAGAGCACCCATAGCTCTTATTTAAAAAAAATATATTAAAAAAAATTAACCTACAACACGGCCATAATAGGCAATAATTAGGTATGTGACTAAAGGGCCACAAAGTCTGTATTAAATACATAATTAATTTAAATATTATAACTAATTTATAGGACCTGAAAGCTATCAATTTACATCCATCTTAATGCGTGAATGTTATTTTAAAATAATATTGCTTAAGCACAGACTACTATATTATTTTATTCATAAACTATAGTGCATAGGTAAACAACTCTATAGCCACACCATTGTCTAAAGTTATTATGTAATGGTGTAACACACCATTACTCATACTAGTGACTATCTTGGCCTTGATATACTTAGTAAATAAGTACTTTATATGAGCTTAAAGACTATTTTAAGAGGCAAGGTCTACTATTAATTTATTAAATGTGAATCAACATATCTCGATGTGAAGTTTCATTCAAATGAAGGTGTCAAATAATATGCTTGTACCTATTTGCTTCTTAACATCTACATAAGAAAAACTAATTTCATATTATGTTAAAAGTTCACTTACCCTTCCATATTCATGGGTAAAAGCCTTCGCGATGGCCTGACGCTGTTCATTGGAGCGTGTAGTTAGGATATCTATGATAGCCTGCTCATCAGTGCCAAAGCCTTTCATAGCTGCTCGAAGGGCGGCAGCATCCTCAGTTGCATTAAAGTTGGGGACACCAACAACTGTAGGTTCACGCTAAAATGTAAATAAAAGTGAATAATTGTTATTGTTTTCGTAATTTATTATAATTGACTAATAATTATTGTATGCATCTTTATATTGTTTGTGTGAAATAAGAAATATAGAGGAATAGCTACTACTATTTTTTGTATTCTTTTAATTGTCGATCAAAGACTATAATTTGCATGAAGCTTCCATTGATTTATCTTAATGACTATTACTATCCTTACACTGCATGAGTCTTGTTTCAATACTGTGTACTTGTAGTAAGTAAAAACAAATAAACTAGGTCAAGGACTCAAAGTACAAGTTCCCGCCCCAAGCCTAATTAAGTTCTGATGTCATCAGGAACCGCCCTTTATTAATATTTCAATAGAAAAAAAAGTACAAGCTACTGTCATACTTACGTGTTGAGACATTTTTCACAATACGCACAGCTTTTTACGGAGAAAGGATATAATTTATGTCGTAGCTATTACGATGTTATTTTTATACGAATTGTTGATTTTCTCACGAAAATTACAAGAAAAATTAGCACACAGATCACACTAGCTGCCACCACAGAAAACTCTGACGTAAACTGACACATGACAATTCGTGTTTACTGTTTAGAAATTAAAATGCAAGTGATGTTATCATTTTGACGTTTAATAGAAAATGTTGCCATTTTGGACATTAATATATAAAATGAAGGAGACAGTATAATAATAATAATAAACACGATTGCACACTACACAAGAAATATATAAAGAGAAATATACATTAATAAATGTAAATTACAGCAGTCGACCTAATCGCTAGAAGCGCTCTGTTTTCCAATTACAGAGCATAATACCGCGTTTTGGCGCACAAACACTAACAACGTGAAAAAACCCTTCATATTTTCTGCTACTGAATTCGTATCCGTTGCGCGCATCACGCCAGACTCCAGAGCAGTACTTTTCAAACTTCAAAGTGATCTATTGTGCGGAGCGTTGCTATAGTTGAAAAAATTCGTACTACAATATTATTATGCCACATAATAAGCTTTAGTGCTGTAATTGGAAAACTACCGCGATATTATTCAGGCAACCTTAGAGTACAGGAATCAGTATATAAAATGGTAGGCGGTGTACTAGTACTTGCATACATATATAAAATACATACAGCGTAAACATTTTTGATGTAATACAAAAATAAATTATATTTACTAATCAAGTTCGATTAAACCTTTTTAAGTAATAATTTTATAGAAGAATTTTTAAATATTTGTGTTAGAAATTATTTTCTGTTCGAAATTCTTATACTATATAGTTAAAACTATTTTTGGGCTTTAAATAAAACAACACAATTCTTGACTATATTTATTAAGGATAAAACCCATTTCTATTTCTTACGAGTTACGGAGCAGTTAACAGTTTACAAAAATTATACATTACACGTCTTATTATCCAGTGTAACAATATTGAAATTAAAATTTAAAAATACTGTGATTATGTTAAAGCTTCATACATATCATTTATCAAAAACTTTTACGGACCTTTTACAAAAAAAAAACGAAGGCTGTGGTGGTGAACTATAATTTAATTTCAAAAATGGATAAGTTAATTAAAAAAAGGAAAAAATAATTCTAATTGTAATTTTTCTAAAAAGCTAAGAATATTTATTATTTTAATAAAAATAAAAAATACAACATTGATTCTATTTTAATATAATATGTATCTTATATGTACGTACTACGTATTATGCAAATATTACTTAATTTTAACTACTACAGAGATAAAAGCATATTTGTAATAAAAATAATAACAATATACTGAACATAATGCGAAAGTGCATAAATAACACTATAGTCCATTCGCGTTAAGAAAATAGTCAGATATAGTGTAACTGCAGGGTAGAGGTGTATTCATAGTGGAGTAAAAATTCAATTCAAATATATTTCAAAAAATTAAGTTTAATGGATATAAATCAACTTAATGATCTCAAATCAAAATAGTCACTAATAATATATCTAATCAGTATCACTAGAATCTTCGTATGTGTGTATTGTAAAAATAAAACATTGTATATCACTCGTCTTTCTCCGCTATAAAATACCATTATATTAGTGAGCTATTCATTTTTAAAATTTATTGTAGGTAAAGCACAAAAGACAACTGTTTCGTACGAAAGTCTGCTACTAGTCATTGTAAACTGGACTTTATAATTTTAAGCAACCTAATTGGTCGGGAGGCGTGGCTAGGTCGGTGGACACCGATGACTAACTATTTTCTTAACGCGAATGAACATTATAGCTTTTCTATTACACATTACACAAACTGTTGACAAAATACCTTCGATCAATAATACTACTTGATACCACATACAAAATCAAAGCTAAATTCTGTCCGCGCAAATATGCACTTATACAGCTTCATTTGTATTCTTACGAACCAAGACTAAGTCTTATAATAGTTTTATTTTCAATCTAATTAACACCATAGCATCTTGTAATAAAGTCACAAAACTTCAAATTATCAACATACACTACACAACGATCATTTCGTAAGTTTCATAATATTTATTGTAAAATCAACCTTATATTAAAACACATAAAGCACTTTTTCCCGTTGTTGCTATTTGAGCTAAAATCGTTATGTTTTGTTTGTTTTTATTTTGCCAAACGTTCTTAGCGGATTTAAAATTGTTCATAATTTTATTTTTATTTTATTTCGTAGGTTATATCTTAAAATATTGACTTTATCTACATATACTTAACGAGAATAAGACACTCCGTTCGAAAAGTTTCTTTTTCGCGCATTATTTTTGCAACTTTTAAATACACATTGCGGCATTGTGAACGTGTTTACGCTTGCAGTGTAGAACTTATATTTACGGAGACGGATTTCTTACGCCCGCGCCAACCCGACATCTAGTAGTATTGTTGATCGAAGCAAAATACAAAAAATATAAATTGATATATATTCTTATATATAAAATTTCCATGTCACAATGTTTGTTACCGTACTCCTCCGAAACGGCTTTACCGATTTTTACCAAATTTTATATGCGTATTCAGTAGGTCTGAGAATCGGCTACTATCTATTTTTCATACCCCTAAGTGATAAGGATAAGGGTGGTCCTCCCAGACCCCACCCCAGGGACGAACCCGAGCGGAGCGAGGGTGAGTCGCTAGTAATATATATATATATGACAAAATTATTAACAAAACCCATATTAAAAAAATAACAGAAACAACAAAACATGAAACATGAGAATGCTTAAAATATTTATAAGCTTTAAATAATACATTTCGCTAGTCAAGTTTTTCTACTTAAAAAGTTATCTAAAATTCTTATTTTAATTACAAACAGAAAAATCGATTTAAAAAGGTAAGTACATATTTTAAATTATAATATAAAAAGTATCTTCTATAAGGAATTGCAATTAATTGAACACGCTTAAAAAACTATATGTATAGATGAAAGGTTTCTCGAGCATTTATACTTAAATTAATAACACTGTTTGAGAACTATGTGGACTTTTTTATAAAAAGTAAATAAGAATTAAATTAAATTCTTCTATATAGTATTGATATTATGGACATTCAGCCAAGTGGGCAATATGTTCGCAAAATTATATACCAATCTTATCAATTTATCCAACATTGCCTGCTGGGCGATGACCGATGAGAAGTCGCAATGAGACAATCTCTAAAAAATAATATCGTTAAGACATCATAAATATTTCCTAAAATTATAACGTTATCCCTAACATTTAATTCACACGATTTTCTAAAATAGACTAATGCCCGATTTCAGCAACGTTACCTAAGTTTAAGGGATCCCCTAAGCATGGTTAGAGGGTTGTTAGGGGACAGCTTCTGTTTCACCGGCAGTTAGGGGTCACCTAAATGTTAAAAGGCCCCCTAAATTTAGGTGCTCGTAATATGGGCTTAAGCCTAGTTCGCATTAAGCTAGTATTTTAGTCTAGTAGCGAGTAATTTAGTAGCTAAATTACTCGCTACTCACCAAAAATCGTTCGCACTTTGGTCGAGTACAGTTTACAAGTGAGTGGTGTTTTGCAAGATGAAATACATAAATATGCTTTTGAAATAAAGTAATGAAAAGTAACCTGATGTTTTTAATTTTCATTTTAATTTCTTTTTCGCCAAATCCGGGTATATTCATTATTTTTTCCAAATCTAAGTATGCGGAATGTTTCATATGCTTGTTTTTATAATGATAGGACCTAATATTCCACAAGCATTCGTGTTCAACATATTTCGAAACAAATTTAAAAGTCATTTCTTCGCTCCAGCGAAACGACATTATGGCGGCAACTAATGAACTCGACTAATTCGACAGGTTCGTACTTGTTTAGCCGGTGAACCAGTGAGCTCGGACGCGTGGTGGTGGCTGCTACTCGCCCAAAAAATAGAATAAAATGGATTGACTCGACTAAATTACTTACTAAACTAATCGACTAAATTTTTAGTGTTCAGACACGTTTAGTTACTAAATTACTCGCTACTAGACTAAAATACTAGCTTAATGCGAACTAGGCTTTAAAGACGATGGTAAAACGAAATTTAATTTAGGGGCTAGTTTAGGGTAATTTTAAGCTAGGGATCTCATACGTAGGTGGTAGCTTATGGGTTGTTGGTGAAATCGGGCATAAGTCTTATTTCCGATTTTAAGGAAGTACTAAGAGAGTAATATATTTTTTAACTATAATATTTAGTTGAAAATGTGAACTGAGCCTTATAATAAGTGTCCATTATTCCCAAACAACAACTCTGTAGTCTCTTTCGACGTTATCAACATAGAAGCCGTTCATGTAAGGACTTGGCAGCATATCATTCAGCTGAAAGAAGGTATATTTAGTAGCAAAAATGCGATATATTAACCTTTAATTATACTTATTTTAGGGTAAATAATTAAATAACAAACGCAATGGAAAACTTGGACAGCAAGAGTATGAATTATAATAATATAAATAAAACTAATAAGTCAGAAATTGAGTATATGTCACTTGTCGAGATTGTGTTAGAAGAATGTTAATGATGTTCCAATAAACCAATAAAATAAAACAAAAAAATAAGTATCACAGTTATCTTTAATTACAGTAAATTATAAGATTGACACAGTTTTATGAAATATATATATATATATATATATATATATATATATATATATATATATATATATATATAATCCAAAAATCTGCAAAAATATTTTTTTTAATTTTAATATTATATATGACAACAATACTATATCGATTAGCTTAAGCTGTACAATATAAATAACATTAAAATAACCCCTGTAAAGAAAATTATACCCCCTTCTAGTTTTATTTTTCAATTATACATAAACAAAAAATATAAAGTGCATAAAAAACATTTTACCTTTTTAAATTTAACAAGAAAAATGTAGTAGTAGACAATATTATCAGATATATTTTTATAGTTGGTACAAAATACACTAATAATTTAACTTGCATTAAAAATGCACTTCATTTACATAAATAGCATATTTTTATAAAAAAAATTGTCACAATTGCGAGGCCACTAATATTTTGTATGCCGCCAAAACTTCAAAAATCAATTTCTTTATGTAAATGACATCAATATAAAATAAATAATAAAAAAAATACTAATGTTGTTCTTAATTAAAAAATGAAACTAAATTAATTTCTAACTATATTATTTTCATACATATATTAAATTCTTCATTTTTCGTCAAGCTCAATCACCAATTATTATTTAAAACAAATTGTACAGTTTGAATTAAACGCTAGTCACAAAATCTACAACACTGAAAAAAAAAGAGAAATCGCCACCTGCTAGGAACAACATTGTAAACTCTTTATTGAATGAACCCAATGAGAAAGTTTTAAAATTTTAGATAAACAAAAAAATGGTATATTTATTAAGATATCTGAAAAAATGATAAAGATATTATATCATTTTAAAATTGCTCAGTCACATGGTTCTGACATCATCATCGACATGGTGAAATATTTTTTTCTTCATTAAAAAAATATATGAAATAATCGTATAAAATATATAAACAAATGCCTACAGTAAATGATCACGATAAAAGCACGCGGTAATTAAGTTTGATGACCTTTTGAGGTATGTTTGTTTGTTGAGAAACAAGCGACCTTTGCACCTTTGCAATCTTTTTTGTTTTTAATAGTATCTTAAACGGAAACTGCCAATATTTTGTTAAGATCTATATTTTAATGTAATACAAAAATTATTGTACTTTCTAACAACTAAGGAAACTTATCCATTTTAAAATATTTTTTTAATATGGAGTTACAATGTTATTCTTTACAGATTTCAAAATGACAGTCAAAACACTATGAGGGGGACTTACTAAATGAAACTAAAACATTTACTCTACATTATTGGTTAGGTACAATGAAATATGGCTGTGTTCTCTGCCAGTGGCGCCTCTTCATGCCGGATGACAGGGTCTGAAATACGTACTCGTTTAGATTTTGGGTTACTTTTCAACCCCAATTATGTTTTATGGGGTTAAATTATTTATACTTCACAATTGTATGTGGATTTTTTTCAATTATTAGCACTTATTATAAAAAGGTTTTATAATATGAGTATTTTTTGTTCCTATAGATGTATTAATAATATAGATGTATGGATTTTATTTCTCCAAAAATTTGTATATTATCTGTATTTTTAATAAGTATAAATATGCATTAATTGTTGGAAAATATATTATGTATATATATGGTAACAAAAGTTACACATTTTGATTTACTTATTATTTCCTGTATTATATACATTAGTGGGCACCCCTGTCATGCAACATGGTCTTTTTGTTATTAAATGAAAAAAAAAAACAAGTACAAAAAGCGTTTATGTAAAAAGCGTTTAGTTAACGTGATATTTGCTGTCCAAGTCATTGAGAAATTTATTGGCGGTGATTAGATGTCACTAGTGGCTGTTTTTGGAAGTTATAGAAGAAGAAGAGTTATAGAGAGTTAGTCAGAGTTAAAATAATTTATATCATCTATATATGCTTTAATTTATATTTTATAAACATTATACACATACACACACAATAAATAGTGATTTTTGTGATCAAAGTTAGTTCTATGACTTACTGATATGGAGTCTGCTCAACGCCAATAAAATAATATAAATGTATGTATATTTAAAGAAACATAAAATAAGAGTAAAAAAAAAAGTAATTATGATAAAGCTTTTCATTAAGAATTTTAAAATCGATTTTACTATTGGACGTAGTTATGCAAAATAGAGCAACCTATTTTGAGAAAATTTGGTTTGGTTAATCAAAATAACAAGACCTTAGTTTTTTTATAACCCATAATCTGGGCTATCATGATACATGGCTCTGTTTTAAATCTGCGAACATGCTTAATATTTTGTTGGTATCGTTAGCGCCTGCATGTTTCAAAAAAAGACACTTTGCGGCTTGGATATTTTTTCTATATTCTAAAGTTGATATGTAGATGCCATTTATGACAGTAACTCAAAAAATGGTTTTAGTGGGCTGGATCCATTTTGCATAACTACGTCCTACTATTATATTCTTATTTTATATAATCGATATTTATGGAATATCGGTTCGTTCGAATCATTAAAATGTCATATTTATTAGTGCAATATCAGTAGGTGTACTTACCACATTAGTATTTATTTTCGCTTCAGTTTCGGTCGATTCTTCACTTATACACTCTTCTTCTATATCCTCTCCTAGAATAGATAAATATTAAAAAGATAAAGATAATCGCATTCATAGTCAAATGATTGGGGTTCGACATGCGTGCAGTACCTAATTCTTTCAAAAACCATTTAGTCCAGTCATTTAAGCTTAAATTAGGTAAGAATCTCGGAATTCGAGATACCCAGCTATAAGTCTGTAAATACTTGTATATTGATACCCTAAAAGTTGTCTCAAAACCTATATATGGTAGGGTGTACGCAACTATCAAATTTCAAGGTCAACGGTCACAAAAATCGTTTTTTTGCGTTTTTTTTGTAATTATCTCGTTTCTTATGGGTTTTTTGCTATTTGTATTTATTATCAATATTGTAGGATACAAAATTTTCTATAAATATTGTTTAAAAAAAATTTTTATACGGTGAACAGTTTTCGAAATAGAGGGCGGAGAGCGCGCGGTCACAGGATCACTTCAGGTCAACCAGTGCCTCCGGTCGAAAACGCGCCATATTTAGTTGATGAACTATCGATTAATCAATGATTATAAATATTTGCAAACATAAACAAACTCTTCAGCTTTATATGAAACTGATAAAGGATAGATAGCCTTACTATCTAACATCATGCGAGCGCTTTTAGAAGTGGAGTGACTATCTACACATAAATAAACTATGCGAGCGGTGTCACGGGCAAAAGCAAGTCAATAAATTTAAGCCATCTGCAGTGATCCATATAAAAATGCCTAGAGCCAGGCTCGGAAACGCGTTCCATTTTTAAACCAGTTTTTGTCATCGACTCCAAACCGAACAGCTTTTCGGTTTTTGACGAAACCGTTAATCATTATTATTTCGGTTTACTAAACCGTACGTTTTTATTAACCGAATATATTAAATGAACAAGCCATGTATTAATTAATGATTAATTCAGTAATTCAAGGGCATTACCGAAATTAACCGTTTAAACCAACTACGTACCCACAATATGCGTAGCAAAGCAATCTAATTACGTCTTAATTTATAGATTAGATTAGACCTTAATCGATATATTATGACGTGCTAAATTCCAAAACCGCAATAACCCGATTTTAGCACTAATATGATATAGATAAAAATTCAAATTGCGCTCGTTAAACTTGTACATATTAAATAATTATGATGATAAACAGCATGTTATTTATTGATAACTTTTTTTTAAATTTGTTTACGCCAAAACACTTATATTTTTAGTCTCTTATCTGTACTGAGAAAATTTTCAGTTGAGGTCAATGGCTTATTATCTGTTTGTAGCAACAATTAGGATTTTTTAAGCTTCTCTTATTAATTATAACTAACGACTAACCCTTGCTTAGCTAGGTACGTTTTAATTTTTTTGAGCGGGACCCTAATTCTTTTTCTAAAATAAAAACAGTCTAAGTTACTGCTTATAACATCCATTTGCAAGAGAAAGTCACGTCAAAATCAGTCCAGCCATTTCGAAGATTAGCCGGAACAGACACAAAAATTTTAAAAATTGTTTTGTTTTTATAAGTACCGTATATAATTTCATATTTCACATGCGTTTAGCAGACAGATTGACAAACAAAAAAATTTAAAAATTGTGTTTTTCTTATATATATATATATATATATAATTTCATATGCATTTAGTAAAAAGCACACAAGACACTTCAATTTTATTTATCTGTATAGCTTAATATTGATTAAGAAGTGATCTACATATATTATATAAAGTAGATAAAACACGAGATATTATGTTCATAAATTTAAAACATGTTAACTTGACTTAGACTTATCAGCCTTCCTATTATTATACAATTAACAAACAAATAATAATATATGATAATTAAGCAATTAAGGATGTTACTTTTATATTGCAATCAATATTCTGCTTACGACGTTATATTTATGTATAAGATTACATACAAAATTAAAAAATTACTATAATACTCTCTTAGATTTACGCGAATATTTGACATTTTAAATAAGACTATCTTGGATTATTTCGCGGATTTATTTTGATTTTTGGTTTCCGACGTTTCGAATGCTTTACAGCCAATCATGGTCACGGAAGAGACTAACTAAGAACAAGTAGTTGTTGTCTGTAGTATTATAGTATATGTAAAAAATTATATATAGATTTTTTTGAGCTGAATAATTTTTAACAATTATATAACGATGTAAGCTGTTGTATAAAAATTGAAAAATAAAAAAAAACAATCAAACACTTTTAAGTTTTAAGCAAACTCTTGATGGCCGTTTTCTTTCACCAATAAACTGCGACCTGTCTATTTAGAAAAAAAAACAAATATCTCTTACCATCTGAAGGCAAAGTTAGCCAAAACTGCGATCTGAATGTGTACCGAAGCCCTGGGGGTATTATCGATTTCTTATCACTATTCAATGAACTTGCTAATATCTTGGCAGCGTCCACCAGCAGCGAGGCGCGCCAGGAGGCGGCGTATATCAGTCGCATAGAAGATTGGGCCGCGGTGGAACATACCATTGGATATAGCGCTTCGTGTCTGCGGAGATTGTAGAAGGCTATGCCTGAAAATTATATGAAACCATTGACTTCATTCAGTGTAGAACATACATATTTTTACAAACTAATAGGCATTTACGAAGATTTTAATGTATAATTTATATTACTAGCAACCCCAGCTGCTTAATGGTACTGTACTGCACTCCAGATCGTAGTTTATCTGTGAACTGAATTTCATTGAAATCCGTCTAATCATTTAAGCGTGAAGGCATAACAAGCATACAAACATACAAAACTTTCGCATACACACACACAAAACTTACGCATATACATATAATATGTTGTCCGATTAATCCTTGTCCCTGCCCTCTCATATAAAACGGTGGTAATATCTATACGTAACTAATAACAAAGCCGTATTAATGCAAGCGTGGCTTGCCCGAGCGTGTCTTTCGTACAATCGAACCTTGCAATCCTTAGGTTTTATGATAGATTAATACATCTTCAAGATCAAATTTAGATGAGAACAAAAAGGCAAAATCAAGTTTTTTTTTTGCAAAAAATATAATGCACTTTCACTGTTATTTTTTTTGTAAGGTGTAGGTAATCAATTAATAAGGAAGTATTTATATTGTTTATTCAAACTTTCTCTTCAAAATTTTTCGATATTAAACTAACTTTAATTACCGAATAGACGGTAATATTTTATTACATATTTTACGTTTGGCTCTGTTTATAGCGCGGGTTCAAGTCCCGTTGGGGACAATCATTTGTTTGATAAGCACGAATGTTTGTACTTCAGTGATAGGTGTTTATATTTATGTATAATATGTATTTAAAATTATATATGTGTAATGTATCAACTCTCTGGTATCTATAACACAAGCCTCATAGTTTACCATGGAACTAGATGGTGCTGTGTGTTAATGTCCCAACATATTTATTTATTTACATATAATTGTGACTAAGGATAATTAATGATGAAATTAAAAAATAAAGGCAAATGTAAGCGAAGACGATGAATAATAACTAGTTATCATGTCTAACCTCAAATGACCGACATGATCTATCCCTCGATCTTACTTACTGATAGGAGCACTGCACTAGAGCGTACGTTGCGATAGTACGAAAGATAATCGCAATTATAATTGTTATGTTCAAATAGTTTTGTCTCGTGGCTCCGCTCGCGTGATGACACATACGCAGGTACGATATGATAAATAAATTTTCCTATATGTAAAGGTATGTGTGTGTTAAGGCAGTGATAGTCTAGTGGTAACGCGCTCGCTTGCAAAACCAAGTGTAGCAGGTTCAAATCTCGGTCTCGCATCTCTGATATTTTCATGTGCTAATCATTTCCAACATAATTACCACTTGTCGTACGGTGAAGGAAAACGCATTGAGGAAACCTGCATGTCTGAGAGAACGTAGGAAATAACCTAGCAAGGGAGGCCCATCCCCAGCAGGGGGACGTTGCAAAAAGCTGAATGTTATATGTAAACGTAGAATATAAGCTCTATTTTATGTTCAAATTCGTAACTTTTTTCAAAAGCAGCGTAAAAGATTCTTTTACTGTTAAACACATAAACGTTCATATATATATATATATATATATATATATATATACATATATATATACAGATTGTGTAAGTTACACCATAAAATGATAAGATTAGAATTCTTTGTTAGGGCCAAGGGAAATGCGCGTTCGATTCCGAGTACGTATGAATTGAAACGACGTATAATAAACACATAATATGTTTATGGTATTAATACAATCTGTAATAAGTCACATCAGCCTTGCGGTTAGGGTGTTGACGTCCAGGCTAAAGGTCACAAATTTAGTTTAAGAGCTATGTAAATGTTTTGATTCTCATTTCTAAAGATAATGTATTTTTCCACTGTTTAGGGAGAGTTTGAGCCAGTGTTGGCCCAGTGGTAACGCGCTCGCTTGAGAAATCCAGTGAAGTGGGTTCAAATCCCGAATGTCACACCTCTGCTATTTTGATAAACACTTGTCTTACGGTGAAGGAAAACATCGTGAAAAAACGTGTGCATGTTTGAGGAAACCTAGCAAGTTTTCTAAAGACATGAATATTCCGCCAACCAGCACTTGGCCAGCGTGGTGGACTATGAGCTGCCGCCTCGTAAGTTAAGTCGTATTGAAGAGAGGCTCGTGCCCAGTAGTAAAACGTTAAAAAAAGGTCTGAATACATAATAATTTATGTAACTTATTCTCTCTATTGTGCTAGATGGCCTGGGTTCGATTTTGTACACAGATTTTCCAATGTCTGTCATCAAAGAGATTTTCGTCCCTATTCGAAAAATTACGATAAATCTATGCTTATATCCTAAATAATAATCTATTAAAAAATATAACATCATTATTTATCTATTATACGTACATTCCCCAAGCAACAGTTATCTCGAGGTACACTCTTTATCAATTCAATTTAACCTAAGTCTAGCAGACATGACGCGACTGTAAAAATTGAGAGGTACTCGTAGTTACTATTCATATTTGTATTAAGATAATTAATATAATAAAATTCGTGTACATATATATTCCATAGCGGAATACTTTGTTGATGCAAATGTATGAGATTACTAAATTATAGTATTGATATAATGTAAATTATAATAATTATACTAGGGACTCACGCTCGCTACGCTCGGGTTCGACATTTTAACGTTTAGTAGATTTCTCAGAGATGAGATATTTTCCCGCAGTAAAAAGTATCCTATATGTACCCGGATAACAAGCTACCATCATACCAAATTTCATCTAAATTCCTGCAGTGGTTTTTCCGTGATGCGGGCACAGACAGACAGACAAACAAAAATTCTAAAAACTATAAGATTCGGCCTCTGTATCGATAATGATGTATTTAATGTACAAATTCGGCATAGTTTCAATTTTATTATATGTATGGATTTAAAAGAGCAACTGTTGAGTTTCTCGCCGGCTCTTTTCAGCAGAAATACCTTCCGAGTCGGTCCTCACGGACTGATTACACTGACGTTTAATTTAAATTTAAAACATTATATAAATGTTATTCATAGTATAATATTTTATTGAAGACAGTCAGTCGTTAATACACCTTTTTCTTATCTAACCTTTAAAACATGATTGTAATCTAAATAAAAAACCCTTGTAAGTTTAACTGAAGCAAGTAAACCGTAATCTATCATTATAAATGTCCAAACTTTATGCGTTTGTTTGTTTGTTACTCTTTCTTACCGAAATGGCTAAACACGTTTATTTAAAATTTAGCACACAGATAGACTATGACCTGGAGGAATTAATAGGATGTCTGTCTTTGTTACTAATGTACAAATAATTTAAAAAAAATCTATACTATTTAGTAAATTTTTGAATTATGCTAGACAAACTACAACATTAAATTTTTCAGTCAAAATAAATTATTATATATCGTCATATACATACCTTGTGGCTTTCTATTTATGTAGAACTCCAAAGTACCTCTCCACATATCAACTCTGACACCGACAATACTCCCCCGACAGAACCCAGCCGTGTCCCTTGCAATAATTGCGTTATGCCGCACTGCACCAGTGTAAGACAAGCCATATGATTCTGCATCTTTGCCCAATAGTGATGTGAAAATAAACTGGGAATCCACTACGTTCACTTTGTCAGTTCCAAGGCCCACCATCTATAAATAATTGTACAAATAATAGTTTTAATTTTATCCATCTAAATGCAAAAGTAACTGTCTGTCTGACCTGAACCCTGAACTTTTTCACAGTTAATCCGTTGAACCGATTTAGATGAAATTTGGAATTGAGGTCCTGGGAAGGATATAGGATAGATTTTATTCCGAATATCCAATCAAAAGGGGATGGAATTTTGAATAGGGAATCAATCATTTCTTAAATAAGGGATATCATTTCTTTTCAATTTTTAAAGTACTACCTCATTTCTATAAAACATACCTAAGGACAATCCCGAGTAAAGCAAGGGTGAGTCACTAGTTTTATTTATAAATTATTTTTTATATATAATTTAAATATAATTTTGGCCTAAGCAGCCCATGGTTAAAAAGCATTCAGAGAACCACAGACAATGTCCACCATGAATATGTAGATAGACCACAGATAACGATCAAGTTTCAGGATAAAACAAGAAATACTTTAAGTCTTTAATGTTTAAAAACATATTTGATAAAAGATAACCTTTTTATCACTTATTGTTAATCAGCAAAGAGAAAATAAATTAGATCAATAACATAAGCCATTGGGGACATATAGATTAAGAAAATGATAATATTTAATAAACGCAAAATACTATAAGCTCCATACTCACCTACTAAAATGATACTTTTGGATTGAATTTAAAAATATTAATATGTAAATTAATATTTTTTTTATAGACTTAGCTTTTGCTATCTTTATCAGTTTGATTTTAATTAACAGAGAAGACAAGTTTAGTTTTTTACCGACTATAAAAATATTAACAAAAACCTACCTTCGTCCGATAAATATAAATGCGAAAGTTTGGATGATGTATATTTGTTTATCAATCACGCCAGAACAGCTGAATAGATGTGGATGAAATTTGGCACAGATACAGATTAGTCGGGAATAGAACATAGGTTACTTTTTATCTTGAAAAAAAGTGTGGTTCCCATGGGATAGATTTGTTTTCATTTTTCACACAGTTTTTGTGTTCCATATGTTTATATATATTTGTGTATTCCATAAGAACTGTTAAAACATACTTCGGGACGAACCCAAGCTAGCAAGAGTCACTAGTATTATAAAAAAATACAGTATATTTATACAAAAGAACAAAATATAGTATATTTAAATCTAGACAACTAGAACAGCCATAAAAGTTTTATATCTAAACAGAAGCTTCATTAATTTTAGCAGTAAAATTATTTTAAACTTACAATATCAGTTCCATAGGTCTCAGTCAATATCTTAACTTCCCAATAATAATGATAATTGTGTAGCAATGGCGTGTCTCCCTTTGCAGCAGCTGTTCCTGAACTGTAGAACGGATGGAATGTGACTTGCTTTTTATTCTCACTGACCACAACCCAACTTGATCCAGCACTATCAGGTTGCGCCCATCCCCATTCACATACTGATGAAAATTAACGATAGTTATTATAATAGCAAAAATGTCTTAAATATAAATGAAATAAATGAATATGAAAGACGATAAATAAATAAAATTTCATTGTTTTGCCACAATGATACAGCTTTTTTCTAAAAACAAGCAAACGGCTTACCGTCATTATCTTCACCGCAGGTACATGAACTCAACTGCGTCCAAAGAACGGGTGCTTTTTTATTCCAACATTGGCAATAGGGCTTCGCATAACGTTCATCAGCACTGGTTTTAGAGCCTATTTTGATCAACATCGTGACCGCATAAATAATGAGCTATAATATTAAGATCGCCAATTTTTCACACAGTACGTTAAAGGTTAAAGAGTTTTGCAACGTCAACAAATACAACACGCTTCGGTTCTCCCGTAATAGCACCCACAGCAACATGGATGAATATTATCGAAAAGCTTTATTAATTAATATATGGGGTACCAACTCCGAAAAGGTCAACGCCAAGTTTAAGAATAGAAACAGAGAAAACTGAAAACCATAGATTATACACTTATATACTGGTGAAAACTCTCAAGTGGCAGTTGGACCGACTTATATATATACACATGACCTCCTATTACGTTTAGAAATTTTATACTCAATTACTCTTTTAAAAGATAGTAACAAAACTAGATTTAATTTATTTCCAAAAAAATATAGAAAGCAATTAATCATTATAATAGATTAAATTTTTACACTTCTAGATTTACAAAAAATGTTACTATTGGTAGGCTGGAGAGGTTAATTAAGATAATAAAATTTAAAATAGATATATTACTGAACGTCTTATCGAGAAACTTCCGGAAATATCAGTAATAATAGGTAAAAAAATCATATCACTAGGCGGGAATTTTAAATAATATTTTAGTCCGTTATTGTAAACAGCTCGATAATCAAACATTTTATGTAAAATAAAAGTTTAATAATTAATTATGAAATCTATATCATTTAAAGAAGAGTATCCTAACATATTTAGGTGGACGTGTGTAACAATAATTAATACATAATATTATTGGTTTAGCAAAATATATAATTTATAATACGAATGTTACTTATTACCAGTATCCGCCACTTTGTAAAACTCTGTTGTCGTGTCAACTTGTGTACTCAACCAAGTCTTTTCAAAATTATTGATTTGAGTAGATTCCAGGTATAAAGTTGGTAGTTCTGTTTGTTTTGCTTCGCGCGCACCCCGCCCACAAATGGCTGTCAAGTGCATTTATTGATGAAGTGGTTTATATTCATTTTTAATTTAGTGAATCATAAAAAAAGAACTGAATATGAAGTATTTACTATTAGGTATTTTATAGATAGGCTGTGTAATTATTTACAACATATATGCTACTTTGAGTTTATTTCAACAATTATCATGTGGAAAATTATTTTAAAACAAAAGTAACACTACAAAGGTTTATGTAAATTACTTGCACTATTTATATAATTATACAATAAGATAAACATGTGGTAACAGTTATATATCTTAGAAGTTCATATAGATAAAATTTAAATATGAAGTAATTAAATGAAAAATAAATTAATGAAATATTAATGCTTTTACGGTAATAATTTGCAAAGTGTTAATTAAGGCCAAGCTCGATGCATTTCTGGATTGACAAACGCAGCCAGTGCGCTTACAGCGGTCGCCACCGGGTACCGTCCTCACTATCAGCCGGTAAGCGTCAATTGGATATCTATGAAAACTTATTCATTAATGTCATACAATTAAAACTAATACCTGCGACCAGATCTCTATCCTACTTTGATATTTGAAAAATGCGATCTTCGTATTTTGTACACTTTATCTAGAATTGGCTTTTAATGTCTAATTTTTGTGAAAATATCACTTACATGTTACATACATTAGAACATTTTTTTTAAAACCTTTTTTTTATGTACTTCACCCTCAATACTTTCTTAGATTTACGCGAATATTTGACATTTTAAATAAAACTACTAGTATAGTATTCTATATCTGTGATAAAACTATCTTTTCGGATTTTTTCAAAAAGATAGTTTTATTTCAAATGTATGGCCTTGGTTAAGCACTAGTTAGATATAATGAAGTATACTTTTTTAGATTTAAAAAATAAGATGTCTGTCTTCATGGTGTGTATGCTTGTTACTTGTTCACATTGAAACAAGATGGTTTTTTTTTAAACTTAGTATACATTAGCAAGTCACTATTCTCACTTCACTTACGTTTCTAGGTGCCTAAAATAGCCCATAAATTAACTCAATGGCCATGTTATTCTGACTTCAATTAAAATTATTATGTTTTTAGACAGTAAAACTATTTTTATCAGAATCAAAAATAACTGATAGCTCTTGGCTCTATCTAAATTGCCTCGGTGGTGTTGTGGCTGGCTGCACACCGGAGGTCCTGGGTTCGAGTCCTGGGTCGGGCCAAGTTTAGTTATTGAGTCTTTCTGTATAAGTAAGCCTCAGTAACAGCCCGGAGTTGGGAAGTTGGCGGTGTTTCACCGCCGTGCCTCGGAGAGCACGTAAAGCCGTCGGTCCTGCGCCTTAACTTCTCACTGGTCGTGTCGAGCAGTCGTCCCACCGGAATATGAGAGTGACAGGAATAGAGAGTGCACTTGTGTCTGCGCGTACACTTGTGCACTATAATATCTCCTGCGCAATTGGCTAGTCTCAATGAGATTGGCCGCCGTGGCCGGAATCGGTCGGGAGAACATCACATCATCATTTAAACGAGCAATTCTTATATATATATATATAACTATAACTATATAATCTGAATCTCGGAAACGGCTCCAACGATTTTCATGAAATATAGTAGACATGGGGTTTCGAAGGCGATAAATCGATCTAGATTAGTCTTATGTCTGGGAAAACGCGTGTTTTCGAATTTTCATGCGGTTTTCTGTTGCACTATTCCAAACAAAATATTATGTTCGATAATTTCGCACACTCAGGAATAAGCATCATGGTCCAGAGGCCAAGGCACAAGATTGAACAAGTGTCCGGGTTCGAATCCCGGTCAGGTACAAAGGTATAAGTAATTTATTTTTGTTTTTTTTTTGTATTCAACTTTTTAGTTTTTTTTTAAATAAAATTGTACTTTAGGCCAAAAACTCCGAGCGAAGCTCGTTGGCCCGGGTACTATATAATAATAGGTTCATATTAGTGAAAGAATTGGTCAATTCATTCTGAATTGGATCAGTTTCAAGACATGCCCTACATACTCTAATTCTTTTTCTAAAATTAAAGTAGCCCAAGTTATTCCTTATAACATCAGCTATCTGCCAATAAGAATCCTGTAAAGTCTAGTAAGTCCAGTTCAGCTATTTTAGAGATTAGCCAAAAACCAGACAGACTGACAAAAAAATTAAATTGTGTTTTTCTTATATGTACCATATATAATTTCATGTGCATTTAGTAAAAAACTTTCATTCTGATATTACATACAGACACTTCAATTTTTTTATCTGTACAGTTTAAAAAGTCGATAATATGTAACACTATGACCTGGAGTAACATATAATCTAGAGACATACTCGAGTGAAGCATGGGGTAGGTGCCTAGTACGAGGACATGATACATCTATATATATTGAATCTGTACATTAAATATTTTTCAGAAAATTTTATTGAACTAAACATTGATACAGAGGCCAAATCTATAGTTTATAGATTTTTTTTGTCTGTTTGTCTGTGACTGCATCATGGAAAAACCACTGAAGGGATTTTGATGAAATTTGGTATGATGATTGATAGCTGGTCATCATATAGGATACTTTTTACTGCAGGAATCTCGTCTCTGAGAAATCTATACTAAACGTTAAAATATAAGTACGAACGAACCCTACCGGAGCGAGGGTAAGTCGCTAGTATATTTAAATAATAATCAGATTTTGTAATACAAACTAATAACTTGAATAAATACAAAAAAAAAACAAAAAAAATTTTTTGTGTCCCACCGGGATACGAACCCGGACACCTGTGATTGTCAATCTTACGCGTTGGCTGTTTGGCCATCGTAGTCTTGGTTTAAGCCCGAGCAAGCGAAATTAGCGACCATATTTTGCGTGAAATAATGCGAATGAAAACTCGAAAACACGCGTTTTCCCAGACATAAGACTAATCTAGATCGATTTTTCGCCCCCGAAAACGCCCACATACCAAATTTCTGCGAAATCGTTAGACCTGTTTCCGTAATCGCAGGTATATAGGTACATAAACAAGAATGCTTGTTTTAATATATTAGATTATTAATTATTATGATATTTTAGGCGTGGGACGGTCACGCGGGCGCGTGTGTGCGGCGGCAGGACGCAAGGGCATGGCGGCGCCGGTGCACCGCTTCGCTCCCGTCGACTGCGCGCCCCGACGCCCACGCCCTCTGCGCCATTATGGGTAATATTTTGCTTCTATTAAACTTTATTACAATTAGTATATATTTGAAAATTTACATAATATTATATATTTTAACGGCTTCGGTGGTCTAGTGGCTAGCACGTACGGCCCTAGATCCGGAGGGCCTGGGTTTCAATCCCTGGTCGGACCAAGTTCAGTTATTGAGTTTTTCTGTCAAGAAGTTGTCAGTAACAGTGCGGAGTAGGGAAGTTAGCGGCCCCCCCAACGTGCGTTCACCTTGTCGTGGTGGGGGGGCTCAGTAGTGCCCGGCAATCCAACCGGGCGCGAAGCTAAGAAACGCACAGGGAGGTTGCCCACTTCGGTGGGCGGTGGGAGGTGGCCCTCTTCGGGGGCGGTGTACCATGCGGGTTGCTCCTGGTACTTCTCTGATAGCAGAGTGGACCTTGGAGCAACCCCATGGTTGTTGTGGTCTGCTTTGGCAGACCTGCCGTCGGGGCGTCGTAGTTGAATGCGTAAGCGATCCTGCGACGCCCCGTTAAGACGGGGGAAGGTTTTGTTGGGCTTTAGTGGGTAGTACTGGCTTTGCCGGTGAGTCCCACACCTCGTGCGTAAATGCATTTCCCAACGTTAAAAAAAAAGGGAAGTTGGCGCCGTTTCACCGTAAAGCTGTCGGTCCTGCGCCTTAACTGTCACTCCCATCCTTTTACCACGTCAAGTCTTAATATCTGGATTTTTTTTATTTCTTTTTACCTTTAAAATTTCGTAATCTTTATTTTACCATATATAGCGTATAATTCTGATATACGAACTAAATTACAACAATTTATATGCGGCACATCTACTTTAAGGCCTCCTCCAATGCCAGCGGTACATTCAACACGAAGACAGAATGACGAATCTAGTCTATACGTGGAGATACCACCGGAGCCCCCACAACCGACCATTGCAAGCCTGGCGGCTGCGCGTAGTGTCACCCCGGACACGTTGCTCCGGACCGCAGCCCTAGGGCTCGCCCACCACCACTCACCCATGATGGCACCACATTTGAAGTTCGGCATGCTAGTTTCTTTCGCGCTCGCAACTGTCTTCTTGGCGAGTGCGAAGTATTATTTTGATAGACAGGTGAAAACACATTTTTATTATTATAATCGTGTGAACTAAATATCCATTTTATTTTCTTTTCATATGGATTATGAATTAACATTGTAGGAGAGCTCGTGGGTTCAAATACCTTGATATATTATATAGAATTGGGTTATGCCTGAAATGATTTTTTAAATAAGTTCAACTTTCCGCTAAAACGCGAAGTGGTCATTCGACTGCGTGGCGTCACTTTTCTATTAACGTATATAAATAAAACTAGTACTGTTCCTTAAACATAGTAAAAAAAAGAAAACGCACGAAATTAACATATAAAAACTTGTTTTACTGCTAAAAAACAAAGTTTTGATAAAATAAGGCAATAGTATTAAATGCATAAAGCTCAATTCCCCAAATTAGAAAGTGTTTCAGGAAGATACTAGCTTTCCCTGTCGACGTACATATTAAATGTTCATAAAAGTGTATGTATTTTCCTATAAAAATAATTGAGCATGTGTGCCCAGTTGGTACGCAGCAACGGCGGCAGCGCGGAGGTGAGTGGGGAGGTGGGGGTGGTGTGCGCGGCCGTGGCGTGCGTGTGCGGCGTGGGCTGCGCGCTGTCGCTGTGCCGCACGCGCGCCGCGCCGCCCCCGCATCCCCCCGAGCGCGTGTCCTCCACCGCCAGGCGCCCCCTGCCCCGGACACCCACGCGGAATGTGAATCAGAGAGAGGTGGGATTGTTTGTTTATTGGTTATGTGTTTGTAGTTCCTGAACAGATAACCGATTTTGATGTATTATTTTTGTGTAGTTATTCCTGTAGGTGGTATTGTCGAGATTAAGATTATTTTTTATTTTCTGATTAAACAAGATCTTTGGCAGAACGAGCACCTACAATTATTATAATACTAAATTAAATTGTAACTAAAAAACTATACATCCATTCCAGGTGACAATATCCGAACCCGAAGACATATCACTTACAATCCTATCACGACCGGAGCGCGAGGCCCCCAGCGGCAGCGAGGCGCGGGGTGCTCCAGGCTCGGAGGCTCCCCCGCCCTACCACATCGCCGTATTGCTGCCCACGCGCGGGTCTTCGCCCCCGCCACCTGCGTACTCAGCTCTCAGCTAGCCCACGCCCTGCTCCGCTCCGGAGCTCATCATATAGTGGCCAAGTCTTGGCTATTGTATATATGTGCGATGTGAACCATTTGTGGATACAGTACAGTGTTTGTGAAGCGATCTCTGAAGTTATATAACCCCCCCCCCCCCCCAATCAACGTCAACAGCGTGGTACAGCGAGCCGGTTGCTGCCCACTAAAATTCGCCAAGAAATGAGAATATATAAACCTTTTACGTTCATAGAAAGCGAATATTTGACATTTTAAATAAAACTATCATTTCGCGGATTTATTTTGATTTCTGGTTCCTGACGTTTCGAATGCTTTACAGCAATATTGGTCACGGGAGAGACTAAGGTTTTAGACGTCTCATACCCAATATAAACCTTATATAGTGTATAGATAGAGTATATTTTCTTTTTTTTTACGTGTCTCTCTTCTCATAACGTGTGACGTAATTTATAGATGACCCCTAAGTGCAAGTTAAAAAATAATTTTGTGATGCGATTATATTTTTATCGATATCTAATTATTATAATCGATACGTTTTAATAATATTACGCAGTGATGGCACAACGGGAAAACCTTTTTTTTTTATAATATTTGCGAGCAAACGAGCAGGCGGGTCTCCTGATGTTAAGAGATTACCGCCGCCCATGAACATTTGTAGCACCAGAGGCACCACTAATGCGTTGCCGGCTTTTCAGGACTTTATTGGTCCGCCCCTTGAATAACCCCATGTTGTAGTCAAGCGGGAACACAGTCGATGGGAGTTGGTTCCACAGTTTGGTAGTGCGTGGAAAAAATGATCTGGCACAACGGACAGTCGAATGCTCCAGGTACCGAGGGTGAAATTGCTTTCGGTGGCGTGCGGTGCGGTTGTAGAAGAGAGAGGGTGGGATAAGGTCAAACAGCTCTTCAGAACACTCCCCATTATATAGCCGATAAAATACGCAAAGAGAGCTTACGTCTCTGCGGTGTTCCAGGCTTTCCAATGAACTAGTTAATTTGGGGTCGTCCACAAGCCGTACTGCCCTCTTTTAAATCCGGTCAAATGGTAGGAGTTGATACTGATACTTATTATTTATTTTATTTCTATTATTTCTACTTTTTTATATTAGTAGACATGAAGGTGATATATATTTTTTTCAAATGTCTTAAAAATATTTTTTGGGAGACATTTTTTTTGTATTTTTTGCTGTTGTAATTGAATGTAATATAGAAAGTTTCATCTTAGTGTATATGTGTTGTGTACGGACCAAGAAAATAAGTTTTAAATTGGTGTGCCATATATACCCACTAGTTGATAAATAGAACTATGAATTAAGTCGGCCTAAATATTATATTTTCACTTTGTTGCTGTTAAAAAATTTCTTCACTTTTTTCCTAATTATATACATTTATACGCACTTGAAGAAGATGTTCTTTACACATTTTTTTATGATCAATCTAAATAAAGTTTGTCTCAGTTTATTTTTGATTCAATACAGACACGAAAGGTTAATGTGAAAATAAAATTATAAGTCTATACTTATAATTTTATTTTAAGGACTTTATTTTTAGGACTATGTCCATATAAAAACTAAAGGAGATAAACCCCAGAAATAAAAACCACAAAAAGTAGCAAGTTAACCTTTGGCATTTTATTTTATTAACTCAGAAGTCTTCAATCTCGAACCTGTATCAAAAGTTACCGGGGTTTAAAGGTAACGAAATTCGGGTTTCGACACGAGATTAAATGAAATTTTTGAGCCAACATAAAATGAAAAATTATTTTAGCTATTATGTGTCGATATTTTAAAGAGTAGATTAAAAATAAATCGAGACTGTAAATTAGATTGGTCTAAACATAAACAGAGAGTGGACTGAGTGTTTCTTTGCCAGCCGTCAGCTAATAATGGTGGAAAGGCGCGACAGAGACAAAACGAATGTGCGGCCAGAAAGAAGTCTTCTGTGTTCATTGAAATATGATAAATGAAGATAGATATTTATAATAATTTTACATTCCATTATAATATTAATCAATAATATTATATTTTATTTAAATTCTATTTATAAATTCAAATTGGAATAATAAACAGGTATTGGCCGCACGTTTGCTTTCTCTCTTTCTCAGTATTGCTCAGTCATACTCTATGTCTATTGGTCTAAATAAGGCAAAGGGCTTGATTAATAAATTTTTAGAAGTTAAAAAAATAATTTTGTCATATTTTTGGCAGTAGATAAATGTAGTAATTAAAATGAACTGAATATGAAATTACGAATTTTGTAATGAATAAAATTTCATTAGTAGATAAAATTATGCCACATAAATAAGTTGTTTTTGTAGATCATGATACTTGTTTACATTGTAATTGGACTTAATTTTATCTGCAGCATATAAAATGTATATTGTTATATAAAAATTGCGTTATTAATTAAGATTTACGTTGTATTTAAATACTTATTTGTAAAAATTAGACAAAATAAAATCAATGGAATTAGAATATCGTCCAGTGTCTAGACTAGTATAGTGAATATTTTTTATACTTAGTAATTATTAGTTTTAATATTTTGCTGTAAATTTATGTTTAAAATAATTGCTTTTTCTTTGAAGAACTAGAGGAACAGTATGCCTATATATGGTCCTGGCCCTAATTCCAACTGGATAAGATTATAAATTACCCTAACCTTGTATACTTTGTGTTCAGCCCTCTTTATTAACATCCCACTGCTCGGCACGCGCCGCCCTTCGATACATATAGGTGGATCAGAACAAAGTACATCATACTGACCAAGTGGGGTGGACTGAGCATGTCTTTCGAAAACTTGCTAGGTTCTTGCAGACATGCAGGTCTCCTCACGGTGTTTTCCTTCACCGTAAGACAAATAGTAACCATGTGAAACTATGGAAATGATTCACAAATGAAAATATCAGAGGTGCGAGACCCAGGGTTTGAACTCGCTTCACTCGCTTTCGCATACGAGCGCGTTACCACTGGGCTACCACTGCCTACTATCTATATTCTGGCTGAATATAATATTGTTACATACTCTTAGTAAATCTTTGTAACAATTGAATGTTAGTGCGAGATCACATCAATGAGTTCATTATAATTTAGACAAATTTAAACAACAACAGTAATATACTTTTAAAAAAACTGTCAGTCGTAGGACTGCACGTCAGAAGTGAAAACTTCTTAGCTTCACAACCTTGTAAACATTATTTTTGGGTTGTTAAGAAAGGTTTTTAGGAAGTATGTCTTATTAGAAATTATTTTTATCAAAATATTAATATAGTAATAAAATTTTTAGTTATTGCACTGTTTTACATAAAAAAGAATGATTATCTATGTAATACAAACAAAATTATAAATAAACAATTTTATTATTATTTTTGTTACTCTGTGTAATGTATATATGTATCTGAGCGTGACGGTCACGCGAGTTCATTGTTTTTTCCCCATCCCAAAAGTGCCAATGATAAAGAAGTTTTCTCTTCAAAAACGTAACTGCAAAAACTAATATTTTATTAGTTTTTAGTATGTTGACTTTAAAAGTAGAAATTGTGGATTAGATATTTAATTTTGTTGTATAAATAATTTATAATTAAGGCATTGATGTACCTCTCGAGGCTTTTTTTGGAACCATAGACAATACAATGCTTAGCTTAGTGATGTCATAACATACTATATATTATAAAGTTTACTTTAAAAAATATTTTTGATCTCATAAATGTTGCTTTACATTAGAATAATTACTGTATTGTGTATGTTTTTAATGAAAAATGTTACCCACAGTACAGGAACTTAGCTGAGTCATAGATTAACATTAGTCTAGTCAAATATGATATGTTGCAGATTTTTTATATGGTTATATAAAAAAACCAATGTTATGATTTCTAAACGTGCTTTTTTAATATACGTTAGCAATGGGGCTACCGTGCTTAAATTGTCCGCGAGAGGGCGTTAATGTAAAGTGAGGTTTCTAGAAATGTCAAATGGTACTGAACGACTGTTGCGAGCTTTTTATAACGGAATTTTAACTAATATTCGTGACTATTCTATAGATTATGCCATTCCTGATTAATTATGGCAGACACGGTACTGTACAATAAATGTTATTGGCTTTAAAGAAGAGTTAAGATAAAGTCAATGTTTTATTTATTTGTATGATCAATTACTTAAAATCCTCGCAGAATTGTTTTCGCGCTAACAATAATTTATAATTATTATATTAAATTTATTGACTGCCGCACTAACAAATACTTTTCAACGACAGCGATAGGACCTCACTCGCCAGTGGCGCCAACTGGTGCCGTATAAGCACATTAAGAATCTGCAACATATAGTACTTAGATAATACTGAATGTGATGTTATTCATTTGGCATTTGTTGTTGGACGAGTGTTATTTTTGTATGTACCTTTATAGAAGGGACTGCGTTCGTCTTTGTAACTGACGCTTGGAATAAAATATTGTAATTGTATGTTGTTTGTTATTTTTAATTAAGCACCTCTTTTATAATCTCTAAATTTTTAAAGTAAAACTTGTTTAGGTGTCACCGAGAGGTAAGTTTCATTTCATTGGAAAAATTAGTGTCGCAGAATTGAGTAAAATTTATTATTAACTAGCAGTACCCGCGGCTTCGCCCGCGTCCAAACTTCCGATCGCTAACAAAATTTACAGGATCACCCGCTGGGCTAATCTGAAGATTACCTGAAAATTTCATCAAAATCACTCGAGCTGTTTTGGAGGCCATAGGAAGCATACATACACACATCGATTTTTATTTTATTTAATCAACAATTTAAATTAATTTATTGCTCGGAAAATTGAGACTTATGAAAATTTAGTGACACAACGACTGCAGTGCCACCTATCGGATCCATTTGTTAATTCAAACCTTGCAGGGTTGCAGGCATTTCGTCCCTCCCGTTTAGGAGATGATCAGTGGCACACCGACTGCTGAGTCCATTTGTGTTTTCAAACCTTGCAGGAGCCCATTGAAATATACACACAAAATTTCAT